CAGCAATATAATTATTTCAAAATGTGCTTCCTGAATTATGCTGGCCTCTTATGCATTCTTTGCTAGAACAAATGGGAACAGAGATATTTTTCTGAATGCTGTGTCTTAGGACACTCATACGGATAGTAAGAATACTGCTCCTGCTTTCTATAAAACTTCTCCTTACAAAGGCCATGTGTCATGTTCCCTTTTAGGAGATTATTCAGAGCAGGTAATTGTACAAAACCATGGTGCTTACACTGTGTTAAAGCTAACAAGCCTTATATGCATATTTGAATTAAACTTAAAAAGTAGTGGGTTGAGATGGTCTTACAAATATGCATGATTGAATGTCATCACCATTAGCAACTGAACTTTCATTGAAATGTCTTTTTTTTTTTTTTCATAAACATGATTTGGGTATTTGAAGAGCATCCTGTGTTAAATGACAGTGTGAATTATAAATGTGTGTGGATAATGGGAAGTCACATTTGCCCAGGGCTTGCAGCGTGAGCTGCTTTGAGGAAAAAGACTGTGTTTCTGAAATTGCATCTTTTGTTGTCTCCTGCAGACACCCTTCTTCTTTGTACCTCTTCTCTCTCATGCCTGCTTTGCAGCACTATTAAGCCACCAGATGGAGAACACGCCACCACACACACAAGATCCAACCAGGCAGCCTTACACCACCACAAGCTGCCAGGAGAGGAGAACAGAAAGCACCATTTCCTCTAAAAACCAGCAGCCACAAGGCTGAAACACATGGGATGAGCACTGCCAACAGCCCCACAACATTGCCATGGTCTGCAGGGAAATGGCTGCAACATTTGGAACATCCTGTAGCAGCAGGACACCACAACCTTGGCAGGGTAGGTCTGTCCCCCTCCTCTGCAAGCACAAAAGCTGAGAACAGCTTTCTTGACCCTGGCCCAAGTACTCATGACAAAACAACGGGGAATTTGCAGTGGACAGCAGCCACTTCTCTTCCAGTCCAGAGGGACTCTTTTCACATCATCTTTAACCCAAGTCTCTCTTCCCATGCAGCTTCAGTGCATTTGTACCCTATATCAGGCAGCTGAATTGCCTTCAAGCTCACACTGCAACAGGAGAAAGGAACAAGACAGGTACATTGCTCTTATTAATGTATGTGCCTCATTAGTGGCCCTGCAAAAACTATGCCAGTGTCTAACCCAGTGCAAAGCCAATTGAGTTTGTCTTCTTAGGCTTTCCCTATGATAGTCACTCAGGATTTTTAAGTGTTTGCTTTTACAGTAAGAACATGTTTGTATTGGTAATCCTGAGTCCTCACAGCATTTTAGGGAAGACCTGGGGGCCAGTGCCCGAGGGCTGTGAGGCGTCCCAGATGTGTCCCTGGGTGCAGTGTGGGCAGGAGTTGGAGCTGGGCTCTGGAGCACCAGAGCTGTTCTGTACCTGGCTAAGCTGCCCAAGCCAGTGCTGGGTAGCAAATGTCTGGCAGGAACCAGGAATCAGCCACCTGCATGTATTTGCTCTGGGTTGCATTCAGACCTAAATGGGGTGGTGGAGCCTGGGTGCTCCATGTGATGGATTCCTCCCAGCTGGGTGCCACAGCTGTGCTGGAGCAGCACTGAGCTGGCACTGGGGTGTCTGTCACTGGCAATCCAGCTACCAGCCTTCACCTCACTGCTGACCCTGGAATGGGGCAAGGTGTATACTAGCTGTGCATTAGGAATCTCTGGTCAAAAAAAGTAGCCAAGAGCCTGGCAAATTTGCATCCCACTGATTTAGGAGTTCATATTTTGCAGAGAGGGCTGTAATTCATGTGTGAGATTTGCTTATAGGCCCAAGGGGAGCATTTTACTTTGAAGCAAATGCACCGGGTAATAATAGAATACACAGCCTACAGAGGGAGAGGCTGTGTGTTTTAAAACCAGGTACAAATAAATGTTGCAAGTTGACAGCCAATAATAACTAGACACATGAACTTGTGAAACAGCTTACCTGAGGCAATGTCTTTGTGTTTAAACCATTTCGTGTTTATGGTGTAGGTGTTAATTATAAATTGTCACGAAACTAGTTCATATAGAATAAACAGCATTCAAACTTGAATTGACTATTACAGAAATACTTTGGTGGGCTCCCAGAGGGACTGCATGTCACACTGACAGGGTGATCAAACATTTAAAAAGAGAGTCAGAGAAGGCTTTTAGTTGGCTGCCACTTTAGGTTGTTATTCATGGCTACCACTCAGTAAATGCATTTGTCTGTTGCAGTCATACTGGACCTGCAGCAGTGCATGTTGTCTTTATAGAGATGTTTTAATGAATCAAGTGCAGTCTGAAATTCAAGGGCTGGCCAGAAAGGAGACTGGCTAGCTGGCAGTAAGCAGAGGCAGTTGCAGCCTTGAATAAAGATCCGGAAAGTCTATGCAAGGGGAGAAAAATGGAGAAAAAGAATCTCTGAACAACTGGAAGTGATATTGCATAGACCAATCTCCAGGATCCCGAGGCTCTCAGAGCATTTGACCAAGGTATATAGGAGAGCATAATGATGGGTATTGTGCTTCACTGCTTGGATTCTATACTTGTGTATGGATTGAGGGAACTTCTGTCTGCTAGTCTTGTCTGTGTTGCTGACAGCTCAGCTGCTCCCAGTCTCAATTTACTTCAGTGACACCAGCTCTTAGGTGAGCACAGTGGCCCAACTATGCACTTGTGTGGGAAGTAAAAATTGGCAGCCTATTAGAGCCAGAAGTGATTTTCTGTTATTAGTGACTTTGAAGTGCTGAAGAGAAGGTATGGAGTTGATCCCACAGACTGGGCTTTGGGAGATGATTAATTCCTTGTTCTGCTGTCTCAGAACCAGTGGGACATCTCCCACTGAGCAAAGGTGTGACTCAGCCCGAGAGAAAAACAGAAGTTGGAAACAAATGTTCCCCACTGTTGCAGCAAACTATTTTCTACTGACCCCAAAATTTGCTTCTGGGAGGTAGGCCTGATGTGTCCTTATGCCAATGACACCTGTTTTTCACTTACAAGTTCTGAGTGTTAAGCTCTGAGTAAACACCTTAACATGGGCACACAATGCCTGCTAGTGAATACAGCCTGTGCAATCCAATAATTTATTAAACTTTCATCTTGTAAAGCCAGTTACAAATTAAAAAAGACAGAGGAAGGAATTCTGTAATAGAAATGAGCAAAATTACAACAAATAGTAGTGGAAGTTTTGTTTCAGGTGGGTTCAAGCTGCCTGCAGCAACCCAAGAGCCAGAACACAGAGCTAGTGCAGAGTTAGGACAGGGATAATCAAGCCTAGTCTGATACATTAGAGATCAAGCCAGTGTATGCAGTGTATGCAAAGTGTTGCTTCCCAGGTGGCCTCTGCATTCCTGTTCTCTCTCACCTGTGACCTGGTCATCTCTTTATTCCTTGTGACAACAAAGGGGTGTTTGTAGGATCCATCAGTGACACTATTTAAGGCAAAACTCCAGTTGAAGGGATGATGCACAGCAGTGGCCACCCTCTTCAGCTGATCGTGTAGCAAGTGCACAGCATGTTTGCACAGGCTGCAGTGTAGTGGAAAGGAGAGAGGAGCAGGGGTTATGTACAGTATTTCTTCTTGTACTGTCACCCTCAAAACGAGTGCTCTGCAACACAGTATTAATGATATGGCACCATTTGATGATGAATTGGAATGGAACCTGTTGCATACTGACTTATTTTTCTATGCAATTTCTGTTTCATAGCTAACAGACCTTAGCTGCTGCTACTTCAGAAACTAGGGACAACCAATTTTAAATGTGGAAGAAGGCCCACATTCCATACAGCTCTGCAGTTTCAGTAAGAAACAGAAAGGGCCTTTGCATTCTGGGATCCCAAGACTTGGCAAGGGTCATGGAAAATGGCTCACCACCAGGTTTCTTGTTTGTTAATGCAACTGATTTGTGATGAGACTAATGCTGAATATTGTTTAAACAATTAAATCAACTTTTTTGAAGTCAAGAGACTGAACGTGACTGTAGTCTTTCATGGAGGAAAAAAAATAAATCTGCTTCTTCAAATTGCAGGTAGCTATAAAAACCTCCAAGCAGCATTTTTTTGGCAAAAGAGCATTGTTTTCAAGTTCTGCCGAGGACTAAGTACCTATAGGAGACTGGATCTGGGAATTTAGTGAGCAGTGTGAACTGTGAGCAGTTCTTGTTAAAAGTTGAGATGGATGAAGGATTTGGCATTTGCTTACTGTAGTACAGAGGAAATAAAAGTCTTGCTTATAACAATTTATCTAGGCACCTATTCACTCAGTAGGAAACAGCTGGCTTAAAACTAAGTTCAGGGACCCCAGTCATCCTAAAATCTCCTCTAAAGAAAGAAGGATCTTAATACAAACAAGCTGCTCACCATAAATCTCCAACCTCCAACCTGAAGTTTGCGAAAAGCAGCTCTTCTGGAAATGCCACTAAACCCATCTTCCCTCCTGGGCTGTACAGGGGAACAGCAGTCATTATTTTTTATGCAAGAGGCACTGCTTGCAGTGTGCCCAGAATGGCACCTTATGGCCTATTTCAGTGGTGCTAATCCCAGAGTTTTCTCCTAGACTGGAGTATGTAGCAGTTTAACTGAAAGTGCCACTTTTTACAGTCATGTACCCGTGAACTTTTACTGGAAGGTGAACAACCACCTTAGGTGTTTTCATTTGTTTCTTTGTTTAATGCTCTCTCATGTAGGGTTTGACCTCTCTGTTGGGACCACTTGGCTTCAATTATACAAAGGCTTTTTCTTTTTAGGACCAGGTCAGATCGTTAGTACATCCTGAAGAACAAAAACCAAACCCACAGTGATTTGTATTTTAGATTTGTTTGCAAAATAAATAAAACAAATATTCTTTTAGCAGACCATGCTGTGATCACATGATCCCAGATGTCTGCATATTCAAAATTCTTAAGGAAGCTTAAGTCTCTCTCCTCTCCTGCAGAAATAATCCTTGTAAATTTTTCTGCCAGTATGACAGGTGATAGTGAAAGCAGCAGAAAGGACATAGAGGAGGAGGATGCTTCTGACTTTGCTTCTTTAAGGTACATTGTTCATCAAACAAGCAAGGGGAAAACAAGTTTTGGGTCATTAGTATTTAACAGTTGTAACTGTTTAATGTCTTTGGGTAGAGGTGCAAATCCTATGGTACTGTAGATGTCACTTCAGGTTTTAAATACAGTAGTCAGCTGAATTCTTAAAAAACATCTTTGCTACACTTGTGCTGGCAAGTTGCAAATACTCATGACTAAACTAGTGCCAGTTCATCCATATCACCTAGTCCAGACGCTTGCATGACTGTCCACACTGGTGGCTGATTTGACACTGCAGCGTTTCTTCACAATCATGTTGATGTATGCTTTCATGATCTTTATTATCTCGCCCACCTGGAGAGAGAACACAGCAACACAGCATAAGCACTTTGAAAACCTCAGTGCACTGAGGCATACAGGACATTTTGCTGAAAGAGATTCCCCTTCTCCAAAGTCGACACAATACATTTTACATGTTAATACTAAATGACAGTAAGAAGAGAAAGGCTTGACAAGTTTGTGCTCTGCTGTAGCAACTCTTTATAATACTTTTTTTTTTTTTTTGAGTTTGAGTTTGTGAAACTCCCCATTCATCTTCATCTACCGGAAAGGAATGCAAAAAACACCCAGAACTGAAAACTTGATACACTGGAACACCAATCAACCTCCTTCACTTTCTAACCAGTCTATTTTTTTTTTCATCCCTGTATTCAAGAAGAGGTACCATTTCCTTTAGGCTTAAACTCCCTTCATCTTTTCCCTTGGCTGTGTAGTCCATTAGTCAAGAGCTCTTGCACAGAAACCTGTCTATTCCTTGACGCTTAACTGAAAGGGCTGCGTGCTTTCACGTACCTGGGAGGTTTCAAAGAACATTTCTCTCTCATCCACTGTGATTTTGAAGGTGTTGGGCTGCGGTGCTCCAAAGAAAACAATGTGCTCATACTGGAAGGTTTCTAATGGTTTAGGATCCCCTCGTTTGTAGACAGACACATTCTCTGTGCTGACACCAAGCCAGAGATCATTGGGGAATCCACCCTCCTTGCACTGCACAAAGAGAAACATGACCTTTTGCATAAATGCAATGGAGGATCAAATAATTTTCCATTAAAAGAAAAAGCCCTCTGTTTCTAGCTCTTATAGGATATTTCAATTCCATACACAAACCAGGATACTTGGCAGAAACTATGTTGGAGGCACTTCTGCTGTGAAGATTCAGAAGTGACACAGCTGTGAGTCAATACTAGTTGAGTAATAAATAATTGAAATAGGGAACAGCTCTCATCAGATTTTAAAGTGATGTAGCAAGTCAATATTCCACTTCTTATTTACAGATATGAGTAAGTGCAAGCAATTTCCAATGGTGATCCACCTAGGCAGCAGCAAAACTGACAGAACTGAGCTGTGGCCTCCTACCCTAGGAGGCTGAGCACAGTACTGTACATGCCCCAGTCTGCATAGTTTCTGTTGTACTGCTGCAGAACAGGATTGCACTTGTTGCTGGCAAGAACACCAGAGCTTTGTTTTACTTTGACTTTCATTAGCCACCACTTTCTTAAACTCCTCTCTTCTCCCCCATTCCACTGTTACTCTAACAAAGAGGGAATCCATTGTCTCCATTTACCAGGATGCCCTGCCTTGCTTGCTCTGTGCTCTCTGTATCATAACTCTTGGGTATTTGATACTGCAGGCTTTCCCTGAGGTAATTAAGACAAAATGTATCCAGTTCCCAAAATTCCCTTCCGTTACACACAGCTCTATCTCTTCTCCAGACTGATACCTCTCCTCAGCTGTGGTTTTAGGAATTTATTAATCACTCACCTCAACATCAAAGAGGGTTGACCCATAACCTGGCCACTCCTTTACAATGGACATGTATTTCACCATGGCCTGATGCTGAGAGAGCCCCTGCAGCTTGGTCCATTTCTGTGCTATGCTCGCCCGAGCAGCTGAAAGCTCTTCTTTCACCCACATCTCCATCATCTGCTCCTCTTCTACCTTCTGCTTCTTTACAGAGCCCGTCTTGAAGCTCCGCTTCAATGTCCCTTCAAGGAAGCTGGTCCGTCTTCTCTCCAGAGTGTGACTGGTACTGCTGCTGCTCTTTGTTGAGTTCAGTATTTTGGATTTCAGCCTGTTAACTGGGTAGATTCCATCAAGGGTCCAGCTTATTTTGGAATAATCTCCATGAAGATACTGCAGCCGCAGAGCTGCCAGGCGCTGCAGAGTGTCCTCCGGCCCAGGAAAATGACCAGCTATGAGGCTTTCATGAGCCTACAAACAAAAAGGCCCCCAAATTCATTAGAAAGCAAAAGCACACTTTATTCACATTTGGGTCCATGTACAGACTCCTGTCGCATCTGCTGATCCCAGCATGACAGACATAATTCAGGAGGTCAGAGCAGATATTGTAATAAGTATGTCAAAATTTGCAAGTGGTTGATATGGGAGGGAACACTCCTTTCTGCAAGCCTGAACATGACAGAGATCTTTGAGGGGCTCCTATCCTGTACAGAAAGTCCTACAATGAGGACCTTTTAGGTCTGGAACAAATGGGAGAGACCAGAATTGAGGCAAATTGGTTTCGTGCTGTACTAGCTACAGCTCCTGTGTGAAGATTATATTCAACACCAGAGTCGTATATAATAAATTCAAGATTCTCAATCTGTTTCGTTACACAAAAGCACCTCCCACCTCTTCCTCCTTCTCCTGATGTCTCCACCAATCTTCTTGCTTCCCTTTCCCTGTTTTTCTATGAAATCTATTAATGGAGTGTTTTGCACATCCATCTAATGTCTGGGTAACGCCTACTCTCCTACTGTTACTTCTCTTTGCCAGTTAAAGCTGTGTAGACTGAAAGCCTTGTCAACAGGGAGTCTGGTACAACTGAAGTTCCAGAGAGCACCATGTGCTGTGACTGTTTTCTAGACATCCTCTAGCTAAGAATGCTTGATGTTCATTTCAAGAAAGGAGCCATGGTCTGAATGATGTACATGCCATGCATTTGACTATCAGTGAGTTTCAGTCCTCATGACTGACTGCCATTAACACAGATTCAGTCATTTTCTACAGCTGTGATTTTCTAAGGCAAGGTCAGTGTTCATTAGAAGTAATACAGATGGGACGAATCACACAGCTGGTGCTCCAGTCAGTTTAGTTTTACATCCCAGCTGCAAGGCTCCTTCATACCAGTGTGATCTCTGATCTTGACAGCATCACTGTGCTATGGAGTACAGTGACTTAAAAGAATAACAGACTACTCAGCAGATAAATATTGTCTACTACATTCTCCTTTCCTTTGTCTGCAGTACTCTTCTAATATCTCTCTGTGAATCAAAGGAAACTGCCCAAAAGATGTTTCATACTTAGTTCTGGTAACACCCCAAGGATGTTCTTGCAAGATAGACAGATAGATTTTCCAGTTTTCTTTACGTTTATGTTCTGCAAATATCTACTTTTAATGATTCTCTTGAATCATTACTCAAATTTCTCTGCCTTCTAAAATTACAGGCCAAGTTAAAAAAAAATAATTATCATTAGTGTTTAATTTTTTTAAAGTCTTAGCTAATTTTTCTTGCTTTTGTTCTAGTACTCATCTTCCCTAGAAAACTTCACAGTCTATTCCGGCAAAAATCCAACAGACTAAATTCTTCTGCTACAACCAGCATTCCAACTTGTAATGAAAGGTAAACCAGTTTTCTGTATCTTCTTGTGTGCTTTTGCCACACAGGAAACCAAATCATTCTCCCTGAGTTAGCTTACCTGCTCAAACATGAAGGCAAATTCCACACCATCTTTGGGAACATTCTCAATATCCAAGAAGCAATAAAGCTTAAAATACAGTTGCCACTGTCCTTCCTCCTCCTCTTCTTCAGAGCCAGCAAGTCTGTAAGATATAAAAGGGAATGAGAAGGGAAAAAACATTTAGGAGAAGTACCATGGTACCTGGAACGTCCACAGTGCAAATCACAATATGAAGGTAACCTTGGGTTCTGAAATCCAGTGTTGCATCCAACTTTATTAAGAGATTTAAGGTTTAATGAAACGTTCTTTTACCTCTCAAACTTGGCCAAGATATCAGCCACAATCACCCGACTCTCCACAGCACGGTCAACCTGCTGGTTGTGTTCAAAGAGGGCAAACATATTCCGGCTGTCCTCCATTGCCAACCCTCGGATCAGCTTTTCAACCACCTGCAAAATCAGACATGTCACACAGCAGGCATCACTCCCCTTTGCACAATGAAGCATCAGTACCTCTTCAGGACACCTATCATTTCATACATCTCCACCACATTTCTCCCTGAATTACCATGCTTTCAGATTAAAGAATTCTAACCTAAAAGATCATTCCCTGCAATGAAGTCATTACTTATAGTTGATCATCCTTGCTTTTCTTCTCTGAATCTTTTCAATCTTCACTACCATTTTGAGGATGGGAGAATTAGAATTCTGCACAAGATATAGGTACGTAATGGATTCAGATGCCATGACGACATTCTCAGTTCCTCTAGTAACAATTCCACTTTTTGCTCTGTTTGGCACTAATGTTTTCACAGAAATGACTACTGCAACCTAGAATGCTGCTTATGACCTGCTAATAATTAAGTTACTGGTAGACTAACCCTCTCAGAAGGATTCCATTATGAACTGGAATATCTCCTTGTCAAGAAAACTGTGTTTAGCAAGTTTCAGACAAAAGATAGAACGCCAGAAATGTTTAGATTTTGCAACACAATTTTCAAGTGATACTCTACAACCTGGGCACTGGCCTTGAAAAGTAAGCTGAGCTTTGCCCAAAGATATAGCAAAAGAGGTTCCAATTTAAAAAAAAAAAAAAAAAAAGAGAAATTGGAAGTAAAGTGGAAAAGGGTATCCCTTCAACAGACCCACTCTCCAGACACAGATGTGCTCACATCTGGTTAATCCTACTAATGCCTTACCTCCCCAGCACTGGTGTGGGAGTTGATGGTTATTTTGCAGGAGCCACCACCATGACAATACACTGTCGTGGTCATTTCCTCACGGGTGAGAAGAGCCTGTATTTCCTCCTGGGAGGGCACAAACTCCCTTGTCTTTGTTCTCTTCAGGGAATCACTTATGAACTGTGCATACCTGTCTATTTCTGAGTCTGGAAAGAGATCTTTTACCCTAATTGTAAGGAGAAGCAAAAAAACCCAAAACAAACAAACAAACAAACAAACAAACAAAAACAAAAACAAACAAAAAAACAAAACAAAAACCAAAAAAACCAAACAAACAAACAAAAAAAACCACAACTCATTACATAGTGAACGACACATTACCCTAAAAATTAGACTACTGCAAGTAATGAGTTTGGTAGAGATACTGCTATCAAATGCAACCACACAAAAACAAAGCTAATTTCCTGAACCATACAATCTGCATTTACTAGTCATTTGAAAGTCACATCAGTGGCATTTCTCAGCAATGTATGAAATAAGCAGTTTCAGGAGCTTAGTGAAGACAGCAGGATTGACAATCTCAATTTACAAAACTGAGAATAAAAACTGTGAAATCAAATGTAAACTTTTTTCATTTAGTCTTAATATTTTTGTTGTTCGGTTGCTTTTTTTAAAATTTGCTGGCTGTGTTTGAGCAACTTTTACAGTACGTTTGAGAATTAAGAAGATAGAAAGCAGATGCATGTACACTGTTCTTTTCCTTCCAGGACCAGCAGGTCTAAGCATAACATTACTTGCAACTCCAGTGATAAAACAACGAAATGGCTACATGGAGTATCTGCATCTCTTAGACCCAGGCCATGGATGTAGCTATTTGGTGTATTACACCACGTAAGACACAAATATCTTACTCTTTCCTAGCTTGGAAGGAATCAAATAGATTTTACTGATCTTTCTCATCATTAGGAATGGACCAAGGTTACACAGCTGCAGATCAGGCCCAGTGCAGACTGCTTTGTAAAGCTGCATTAGATGCTGAAGACAACTTGAGAAGAAATATAAATTATTTCGTTCATGAAAATGGAAGGTTAAATCAGATTAAAAATACTAATTGCAAGCATTATGTGCTTAGTTAAACAAATCTTGAAAAATTATAAATTGGATTTACAGTATCTCTCCTACTTCACAGTATGCTTTTTGCCTGTGCCAGCTGCAAGGTAGTACATATTTCCATGAGTATGAAAGTACAGTCCTCACCTTTCCTGCAGGTTGATAATGTTTATATGTACATTAGCAAGCAGCAGGTCATCAGCTGTAAATCTACTGCAACACAGTCTCATGGTATTATGTTTGGGCAACCTACATTCATTCCACATCCTTTTGACAGAACAGATGGGTGGCAAGGAGGGGGGACTCTGAATACACAGAGCAGCTGGTGGTAAGAATTGGGCAAAGGTAGGAGGCTGGAACACCACAGGAAGATGTTTGCACAGCAAGAGAGTGAGACAGGTAACTACAACAGTCAGTGGAAGATCAGCAGAGTAAAAGGAAACAAGCTGCAAACAAGAGAGACGTTTACCTTCGGAGGTGGAACTTGAGGTAGCGCAGGATCCCTCTGCTGGGCAGGAAAGTGCAGCTCATACAGGTCATCAGCTGCCAGTGGTGCAGGTTCCCAGTACTGTTGGGATGTGGCATGTGGTTGGTTTGCTTGATGAGCTGACAGTACACTTCATCACGGAGGGGCTTTAAATCATGGCAGGTCTGCAGGATGCCTTGGATAATGGGTATGGGGTCAGACACTGTCTCGATTTCCTGAAGGGAGTTAAAGATCTTCACTGCTTCATCCTGTAAGCTGCTGTAACCCTTCTCTTGTTGCACTGAGGAACAATCACAAAGGTGACAAGAAGTGAGCATCTTCCTCATTTTCTACTGGCCCAGCAGCACTACAGTCAACTGTACTCATTTGCCATGGAACAACGACAACCTGAGCACTAGCGAGTATTCTGAGCTTAAGTTTATACTTTAAGTTCATTAACGCTTCTTCTCTCAATGTTCAAACGTAGTTTTGGTTAGTATTTGCCAACATCTGATTTGTCACCACTGCCAATCCATTTTGGATACACTGTGCAGAAAAGCAGAATAATATTTTTAAGGAAAATGAGCACTGAAATCTAGTTCAGGCTTCAGTGTCTGCAACTGAGGTATGGAATGTGGCCACTGAAATCTGGCTTGTGTAATTCCAAAATTCTGTATTGTGCCTGTATTAGCTTTGACCCTGGGCTGACATAGAACTTAAGCAAATTGCTGTACCACAAATGCCTATTGTTTACCTATTGTTTAGATTTAAAATGCTTAAACCAAAACTTGAGTTTTTTGAGCACCTAAATGTCTGCTTTTTCAACTGCTCAGACGCATGTGATACCATTCAGATGCAAGCTTGCATTCTCCTTTGCACATCTCTGGGGCTTTATGTCCTGCTGAATCTCCTGTACAGCCACTGCTTCCCCAGTGGCCATGTATTAACTGTACTATACAAAGACACAACTCTAAAAAGTAAGTTTCACAGTGTAAGCACTTCTGAATTTTTTCTGTATTTCAGAATTTATTTTTTCTGTGCTTTTAATCTGCCACGTAATTGGATCCTTGTACTGTGACAGACCTAATATCCTTTCACTTTCTCCATGACAGTCTTCTAGCCCCAAAAACTTAATTTTGAGGCTGAAGAATCGTGCTCTCTATTTAGTCACTTAATTGTAGCATCTTTGGGTAGGATTTTACATCTCCTATATTTTTGATGAGATGTAGAAGGCAAAACTGTATCCTGATCTCAAGATGAAGGTACACAATATATCTACAGCTGCACAAAGACTTTATTTTTCCTTTTCTAAGCTTTCAGAACCTTACATTAGCTGTTTTGTTTCTGCACTCACCACTGGAGTTGACATTTTCATAAAGCTATGTAAATTGATGTTCACTTTCCTAAGCACAGCTAGATTATTACCTGTGTGGCAAACTCTTTTTCCCATATACATTGCTTTGATTGAATTTAACGTCTTAAAAGATTCTGTGGCTCAGTCATTCCACATGAGACATTCTTCTATAGTTCCTCACCAGCTTTCAGTTTTATTAACAGTTTTATAGTCTGTAATCATCAGCAAATCACTTCAGCTTTCTGGTGGCCCATCACTCTAGCTCTTTCATGCTTCTGACACATTCGAAAAAAGTAGTAATTTAACCTGGTTTTACAGCAGCTTCTGTAGAAATACTACCCCACTGCCAGCTGTGTGATGTAATCCTGTTGTAGTATTTCCACTGGAGCCACTCACAACCCAGCTGTGGCTAAAGAATGGCAGGCTGCATGTCCCCTGGATGGATGATAAAAGTATCGGCCCCCATTTACTTTAAGATTCAGTGTTCCCACATGGTAAGAGGCAGTGGACGTGGAACACACTCCAGAGAAGAAAGGAAGAGAGAAAGGGACTGTTCCCTCCCTGAACCCTGTGGGCTACACTGCCCCAAATAGACTTCATCTGCACAGAGAGAGCTTGCAGGCCCATTTTGTGGAGCTCAGGCTCCTCACTGACCCTCAAAATGTGAGTGGATTCTGTCACTTGGGTAAAATACTTACAGTTGACACTGACATCTCCGTATGGCAGTGGGAGAAGTGGGGAATGCAAGGGGTGCTGGGTGTAGCGCAGGATTGGGTTCCTCCTATAAGTCTGTTCCACTACTTCAAAGTTTGTGCTGTTTTCCTGGAAAAGAAAGAAAAAAGTAATTATCCTCAAAGAGGCACAGTCCTTTGTAGGATGTACTTAAACACTTAGGTTCAAGCTCAACAACCTTTGTCTAAATTTCTGGGGGTGTCTAGGGGGGCTAGGTGATCAAAGCATAATCCATAACTAAAAATTACCCTGTAGGTTATTTCTGAAAATTAAACACAAGAATAGCCATGCTGCATCATCCCACAGGTCACCAGGCACAGAGTCTTACCTTCAAGCATGGTAATAAATATGGCATGATCCCTCTCTCCTATGTCCTTCAAGCTTTCAACAGGACATGGTCAATGGACTTTCTGAGCACAGGTCAACCATTTTCAGTGTGTAATAATGAGCCTGTTCTCAACTTGTCTGGTTGTACTACATGTGTTTACAGAATGAACAACCAAAATGCTCCCTGGTTCAAAATCTGGGCCTGTCACTACCATACACACTGGATAACATTCTTCTGCATTTTGTCCTAGACTCCTTCCCTAACAATACAGAATGTTCCATTTGTCCTGGAACCCTGAGCTGAAATTTTCCAAGATTATTCTCTACAATCACTCTCAGATCTTTTTTCTTAAATATGAACTATCTAATTACATCAAGTTTAGAGTTCATCACAAACATATTTCTTCTGAAATTTGCTTTAGTGTGTGTTCTTAAATGATTCCAGGCTTATTTGCCCAAGTTTCTGGCAAGTTTCTTCTCAAAAATTACTCCTGTGGTACAATTTATGCTATTTTGAAGGCTATTCTCTTTCCACCCTTTACTCTGGTATTTAACCACACAGGCCTAAGGTATGAAGAGAACTTCAGGGTACATCGAAGTCAGATGGCTGGTAGGAATGGATTGTTTTGTATTTGTGTCTGGAGGATGATTAGGAGCAGAGAAGATGGAGGAGAGATTTGAAAACACTTGATGGTGTAATCCTGCACACAATTTTTAATTGCACAGAGTCGTAGTCTAGACTTATGCAGATCAATTAACAAAATAAAATTTGCAATATTTGATCTTTTTTGTTGCACATTGGTGTACGTTTATTTTTTTACTCTTTTTAATTTTCCCCTTAAGACAGCAACCCCATTTCTTGCCACATTCTCAGCAATGACTGGGTTAGGCCAGTGGTGGTCTGGCTGCTCCCAACTCATGTAGGAATGAGCAGGATGCCACCTACCCTGATGTCCCGAATGAGCTGCTGTGTAGGTGTTTCTATGGGAACTTTGCTGTCGATGACGCCCTGAATGGCAGAGGCCCAGCGCATGGCTTCGTTCAGCAGCTTGGTGTACAGCCGGTAGGAGTGCTTCCGCCCATGGACTATGATGTTCCAGTAGCCTGTGGAGAAACAAAGGTGGAAACAAAGCTGGGAGGTGAAACTGGCTTCCACATTATGCACCTGACTAGAGGCTAGCAAATGTGACATCCACCTACAAAAAGGGCCAGAAGGAGAATCTGGGGAACTACAGGTCCGTCAGTCCATCCTTGATACCGGAGAAGGTTATGGGGCAGATCATCATGGGTGTCAAAGGAGAGCCATGGAGCTGGGGAAGGGTCTGGAGCACAAGTCCTGTGAGGAGGGGCTGAGGGAGCTGGGGGTGTTTAGCTTGGAGAAAGTAAGGGGGACCTTATTACTATCTACAAGTACCTGAAAGGAGGATATAACCAGGTGGGGGTCTGTCCCTTCTCCTGAGTAACAAGCCACAGGACAAGAGGAAGGAAGGAAAGGGCTGTCAACAGGCTGTCCAGGGAAGTGGCTGAATCACCATTCCTCGAGGCATTTACAAAATGTGTAGATGTGGCATTTAGGGACATGGCTTAGTGATGGACTTGACAATGTTAGGCTAATTGTTGGACTTGATTATTAAGAGATCATTGATTCTCTTTTTGCCTGTAGCTTGTGGCTGATGAAAAACCCTTGCTATTTTCATAGCAACATATGGTGTGTCTGGTTAAAATCCACTAGGTAGACATTAACATCCCCATTCCCCAAACACATTTGTCAATAGGAAAGTCTCAGTCCAGATTTTGGTACAAAGACAGCTTTCCAAGATGCAAGTATCTTGCAATGTAACCTGACTACTTGCCTGCCAACCAGGCAGCTCACTTTCACAGACAGCATTTGGACTACATCATCTTGTTAATCACTTGGAAAATGACCACTCTATACACAGCACCTAGTTAGATTGCCAAATCAACTCTCAGAACTTTTAAAAATATGTGCTTGACAACCTGAGAGAATGTGTCAAGGTGATGGCAATTCTATCTGCTGAAGGCAGCCCTGGACATCTGTTGATACCAAAAATATGGACACTTTCTTGTGAATGAGCAGAATAAATTTCCTCTCATCTCACTTTACGAAATACTTCCAGCCCTTTTAAAAGGTATCCCAAACAACTCTAGTACTTAAATGTCCAGTTTTTCAAGTCTTTTTCTGAGGTTCACAATCTTTGTATGAGGAATTCATCCTCTTTCCCATAACCTGGGTTTCCTTCCAAACTCCTAAGGCAAGAAATGGAGGATCATGCCAGATCCTGCCTTCCCAGAACTCTGTCATGGTGCACAGAAAGCAAACACAGGCTTTTGTCATCTTTTGTTTTGATCAAGTTGAGTGACGCAGTAATACATGCACTGTACATCCCTTACAGTGTATGGGATGGCTGCTATTTAAGAAGTTACACTGACCCCAGAGACAAATGTAGGTCAAGCTACAAGGTGGCAGTTCTGGAGATGTACCAATAATTAGTGTCAGCTACAGGAACTCACACCTGTTACCCTGCTTGGGGAACACTGAGATAAGCAGTGACTCTGCTCAGTGAGAAACACCAGCCCTGTGTATCTCTGTCACGTGTGAGGCACTTACAGTCACTTGCACACTTTGCAAATCCCTTACGGGATTTCCACGGGCAGAGATGTTTGCAGCCAGACACAAAGCCCCAAGACTGCCTTCCCAACACGACACACCACTACAGCCGTGCACCATCTCCCCTGCAGGAGCTGCACACCCGGAGCCTGCTCTGTGCCACTTTCTCCCTCTCACCTGTGTCTTTGAAGACCCTCTCCTCAGGCTGCACGACGGAGCAGAGGCTGTTGAGCACGAGTGTCCCGAGCTTGGCAGCCGTGCGCTCCGAGGACTTGTAGTAGTCCAGGGCAGTGTTTGTCAGAACAAACCAGCGCTTCTTCATCTTCAGAGAGGACATCTTGTTGCTGCTCTGAACCTCCTTATGAAGCCAGCCTAGCACACAAACACAAACATGTCATTACGTGCATCTCTTGCTCCCATGGTCAGGACAAATAATTTCACTGTCATTTTAGATTTGTCACAAAATAAAGGGAAAAAAAAAAGATTAAGAAAATTCAGTACTTCAACAGAAAAAAATTACAGCCTGCATTGCTAAAGCTGTCAAAAAGATAATTTTCTACTCAGAGGTGTAAAAAGCAATGTCCACCCACAAGGCAAAATGTTCAAAAAATGTGGGACTGAACCAAGAGGCTCCATATAAAGAAAAGATAGAGACAAACCTTCCTGCATATATATATATGTATGTATATATATATATATATATATATATATATATATATATATATATATATGCGCCTTTGAGGCTACTCTGCTGTCACACAGACATTTTCTTATGAAGAGCAGAGCATACTCTGCAAAGTATAATTTCTTTTTCTCTTTGACTAATGAACAATACCAGATAAAAGTATTGCAGTTAAGTATTTTGAAGTTAAGGTACTCAAACTGTTGTCTTATACAACAATTACTCCTACTCCTTATTACTCCTTTGTATCATTCAATCTCCTTGAATATTTTTTAAGACTAGGGTTGAAGTCTTTTCCCACATTTTGGTGACCCTTTTCTTCCTCTCCTTCTGCCTTGCCACGACCACTTTAAGACCTTTATTCCTTCACAGACGTTCCTGGAAGATACAAGGCAATTTGCTCATCCACTTGCTTTCTATAGACTAGATCAGGAGTGTCTTCAAACATTTAAGACCACGCCATGAGGTCAAAGTATAGAGGAAAATTTAAAATATTTATGACAAATGGGTGAATATTTTACAATATGTGACCCTTACTCATGCTTTTCCATCTTCAATTAGGTTGTGACTAAAGATGTAATTTAAACCTTTTGCTCAACCTCAGAAAATTTTTCTCACCTCACTAGGTCTGCCATAACCAGGTTAGTTAGTTTAGCTGTGGACAGCAGCAATCCCATAAAGATCTCTCCCTCCCTCTCTACATGACAGGTGTCAGAAGGAACTGAGCTGCCAACAAAAGCCACAGTGTCATGTCAGAGTCCATCTAAGCCAGCTGCTCCTATCAGCAGCCATGCTCCTTCCTATTCCCTGGTGGCATTTGCTAGACATGTTTAAATAGGCTAGAACAATCATTAGAAAATGAAACATATGAAGCACTTATTTTTTTCCACCTGGCAAGGAATTAGGTAGGAGCCAGGGCTAGCACACACATGACATGGCAAGCAGCAGGCAGGAAGATAGAGGGGGCAGAGAATGACAATTTTTGGGGAGCAGCTAAACCTTAGACTGAGCTAGCAATCTCCCTGTCACATTATAAGCAGAAGATGAGTTTCACATGTAATTGCATGTATTTCCTTTCACCTCTCACAAGGAATTCCTGGCCATCGACCTTGGATTCGCCTTTGGGTTTCTGCAGCAGGGAGATCCAGTGATGCATTTCCTCAGGAGTGTCGCTGTTGCAGTGAATCACACGATTGGCTGTGATGATCACAAAAGAATTTGGTCTGCCACAGAACAAAAGCATTAAAATTAGTCATAGTCATGCAAATAGCTCACAGCACACCCAAAGTCGTGTTTCTTACCGTCCCATAAACAGAAAGACTTTCTGAACACAAACTACAGAGGAGTGCAGAAATACTTAAGATCATCTCTTGTTCAGTTGCTCTGTCAACTGATAAATGTAGAGCTAAATGAAATTAAATATCTTTCAAAAGCTACTTCCAGAGACTAGAAAATATTAGTTAGCTAATAAGCAGCTGCAAAATGTCCTTGGTTCATTAGCAAAGGACTTTGACTGAGTGGAATGAGCCAGTGCTTGTACCACTGGGCTGAGCTGGTACAGCCATTTTCCTCGTTTTATTAGAACCAGTAATGCAGTAGCAAATACAGGTCTCAGTAGGATCAGCTAAAACATGTTAGAGATTGGTTTTCAGAAAGGATGAGCTGATCCAGGCAAAATAGAAGAAAAACTGTTGTGTTGCTCCTGGATGACTTTGTCCTTCTCTTGCAACTGTATCTCACCAAAAGAATATTCACAATTTGGTACAGAATTGATGCTTTACAGGAAAATAGAAAAATAAAAGTATGACCAGTTCCAAGAGGATAGACTCGTAAAACTTTGAAAACAAAACCAGATTTCTGTGAGAAAACAGAGAAACTGAAAAGTAGAATGCAAGTTTGAAGTAAAAGGTGCAATCAAGCTCAGGTAGAAAAATGCATAAACCTATGGAAGATAAAAATAAGCTGCATAAAAATGTTGAGAAAAAGCATTCTCCTCAGAATTTGTTTAACATTGCTTCAAACACCGATATTCCAGAAAAGCATACCTCAGCACATACATAAACAAATCTTGACTGTTCAGCTTACTATTTGTTCCTAGTTTTCACTGGTTCACAGATTAATTATGAGGCATAAATGCCGAGAACTGCCTAAAATGTTTTCATTAATGAAATCTTAGTTCACTTCTGAAATGCATTTTCTAAACTCCTAAAAAGAAAGTCCTAGCAACGTGTGTCAGAGCCCAGAGCTCTGTCCCCAGACCATAGAGATAAATAACTTAATAGCTAACATTTTACTTCAGCACTGTGCTGAGTATCTTTGCCCCGGATGAACCTGTTAATATGTGGGGAATAATTAAAAGTTAACATAAAGTGATATGAAATGTCCCATCATCTCTTCTCTGAAACTAACTAACTGAAGGTCTGTGCTCTGTTGCATTGCAAAGGTATCAAGAATAATACAGATCTCTAAATTCATCCATTATTCTTCCACAATGCTGTTTTTTCCCCGTAAATTTACAAGTTAACTGGAAATTACTCTGTTGAAAAAATGAAAGTGCTGCTTTTGCTGGACGTATTTGTTCAGTGCTGGTAATAGATAAAACCATAATTTTCTGACATTGAGATTATGCTGTTTTCACTTTTAGGAGCTGCAGGAGAAACTTCGACTCGAAGACAATACATATATGGACTTCATGCCTATGAAGTGACATTGCTGGAAACAAGCTAAAGATTTCAGCTATGTTTATTTGTTTAGAGAAAAAGATGTATGAGTTTAAACAAATACAAACCCCAAAGGAAACCTGGACCTACCCACAAAAAATTGTGGGGAGTTTCTGATTTAAGAGATGGTCAGATTGCTGTACCTACCTATCAGGATTGTCTGAGGCACAAACAGAGTCAATAAGCCCAACATCCAGGGTTCCCTGCAGAGTGAAGAAGACACAGATTGCATTTTAGATTAACAAGTGCTCTCCTCTGTGAATAGGATTGGAATTGAAACCATTCCTCTGAATTCCAGTAGCTTGAGCAGAAATGAGCACATGAGAAAGGCATAAGTGAGTCATCTTCACTCCCTAAACAGCATAAGATGTGCAAGGGGCTCCACAGGACTGGAGGAAAAACAGTTACAAGTTTCCAGAGAGTATTATGAAGGTCTGAAATAACCTTAGCTATTAGCTCTGTACTGGCAAAACACATAAATACACCATTCTTCCCAACTGCTATCTTCTGTCTGGAATAACCGTGACCCAGACTAGTCTCATCCAAAGACATTTTATCTGCATGAGGCAGCCTCCCTCTTCTCCTCCAACTGAAAAGAGCTATCAGTGACCAAGCTGAGCAGCCCACGACAAACACCACATTCCCCACTGCCTGCCCTCTTTGCTACCAGCTTTGCTGTTTCTTTATAATTATAAATGTCCAACTTTCTTACACTGCCAAAGAAGTACAGCACTGCATGTGCTGGAAAAAAATGCACAAACAGTTAAACACAGAGGGCTCCAAGCATGCCCACAGACTGGTTGCACAGTAACTCACCACAGCATTCTTTGGATTGGCCTGTTCATCCTGCATTTCCCTCAGCTGCTGTGCTGTAGCGCTGTGTACTCGGCTCAGGACATTAAACCAACCACTGCCAATCAAAACAGAATCAGAGTTAAACTTTCAGTAGTAAAACTGGCTCGAGAACATGATCAAGGAACCTGGAAAGATGCCACTGGGAAAATTTCTTCATTCACAATTTCCTGACTACTATGTCACAAAATATCTCTTGGGCTGATCATACCAGATTCCAATGTCTTTCTTCCTCCTTATTTACCCATGAAAATTCTGTGCACGTTCTTCAACCCACTGACAGCTGCTCCTGCAAAATCCAGTTTTCCACTTGTTATTCAAGGAACTCTAAGTAGGCAGTGGCTTTACAGGGAGCCCATGTCAGCAGACTGAGAAGAGCATACAGCACTTGTAAAAACAGAGTTAGTTGGGAATCTTCCTGGACTAGAGTCCTAGAGACGCCTGGGAGCCTTCTTGATTAGTCTCTCTCTGATCTGCTAATAAACTTGAAAGTCATATGGCTGGCAATTAATCATGGGTTTGTTTATAAGTGAATTTGGAGTGAAGGTTTTTGTCTGCAAAAGAGCTTCTCTTACAGACATATCTGGAGGCTAATTGCTGTTGCAGAAAAAGCAGATTCTTATCTGCAGCTTCCAGTGAGATCAGCAAACATCCATACTTCATGGAGGATTCTCAAACTGGATATCTGTGGCATCTGCTAATCTGCCCTTTGCTACTGCAAGTGTTGGTGCTTTCTTCTTCCTCCTCAGAACAGAGACTGATAGGGCATGGACAGAGGCCACGTTTGGTTTACACACATCCTAACAATTCTGCAGTGTTATCTCAGGGCATGCCTACTGCAGTTGTGGAAGTTCTGGGTTAGGAAGTTACTGTTCCTTCCACTACTGCTCCCTAAATTTGCCCGTTTCTTGTCCATGTGGCTGCTCTTCAGTCTATTTCTGTTAAATTGTATCCCAGCAGCTTACCCTTTTCTCTCCTTACACCAAAACACTAATATATGCTAAATAACTTCAAAGAATCAGCAGATCAGAGAAACAGTTACACTGTTACAGGGCTGAGAGAGCAGAAGCCTTGGTCAAAGAGGGAAGACAGGAGTGGCTGGGGACAGTAACCTCTTAACTTGGCTTTGCGTAGCCAGGACAGGTTGTCCAACCTGCCCTTAAACAACTGATTCCCACTGTCTGGCCAGGATGCTGAGAAGGAAGGACATGAGTCACTTGTTTGCTTTGCACTGGGAAGATTTTATCAGATGACACTACAGACTCTGATAAGCTGCAGCCTTTTTTCTGTCTCCTGGATAAAAACCAGCTGCTCTCGCAATCATTTACAGACAACATGAATAGACTTTCTGTTTGATTCAAGATTCCATTAAATAAATAAATCAGCTATTAGATGTTCCAGTTTATATTAAGGTTTGTGTGTCTGCTGAAGTAACCCTTGAATTCAGCATGCTCACAGCCACATGAGAAGCTGGCAGTCCTGTGACATGCAGACTGAACCACAACCTTGATAGCTGTGACATCAAGTCCCCAAAGTAGGTGCAATGCATCCCAGGAAGCACAAAATGACACTGGAACAAATCCCCCCTTTTCTCCAGCAAAAGGGAATTGATTATGTTTCTCAAACTCTCCCATGAGTAGCTGGGTCAGACCTGCACCGAATGAACAAACCTAACAAAACTCCTTGTTGTACCTGGCATCTTCTGGTGACTCTGCAACAATGTGGTAAACTCTGTCTTCTGTCACAATGTCCAAGGCGTTCTCCTTTTCATGAATATCCACAATCTCTCTGGAAAACAAGAAAGCACAAGAGCCAAAGCTAAAAACCTTCCACAGGTCTGAATTCCATCTGGTCGGTTCTTTTGCATCATACCCTTCACCACAAAGAAGGGAAATCGCTTGTAACTCCGACAGAAATACAACATTCTGCCAATACACAAGATGTTTAAAAAGATCTGTACAGTTAAAAACCAAAGCTTAAGGCATTACGTGGATTTTCAAGACACCAGCAGACGACATGGAAGAAGAGATAACAGGAAGGCTGATATGGACTTTGTTTATAAAGTCGGGTGTGCCATTCTTTTTGGTACTTTACAGGTCTGCATAATGCTAATAGGTGACCAGTCTGTCTTTTCTTAGAGTGGGAGCTGAGGAATTGACTATGGCAGCAGAAAGAGCATTCAGGACTCAGGAAAAGGCACAGTACATGCTGCCAAATTCAAATCCCGCTGTGAGCTTCATAATACCTCTGTGAAATGCCTGGAGAAGCCAGAAAACAGATGGAGTCTGGGTAGGAGAGAATGCATGGGGTATGTACTTAATTAGCCCCTCCTGGTCTGGCTCCATCCATGGCTTGGAAAGAGCTTCTGCTGGATTATGAAATGCAAGACTGGGAAAAGAACTATCAAGTAATTGCAGACTCCCTACAGAGTAAAACTAGATGCTGTAATTGTCCTTTCCTTTATTTCTGATTCTCCAAGCACCATGGGAGATACACAGGCCAGTGAACAGCAGCACTGGACCCTTCCCTGCTGATTTAGAGAGCAAATACTAGGGATCAAAGGGATTTATTTTTGCACTCACTTTGCCCTTCTGATATCAATAGTCCCCTTCAACTTTTCCTCACTATCATTCTCAAAGTACATGAGCTTGGATTCCCGAAGCACAAACCAGCGGCGTTTCCAGTTGCGGCGGGAGAGCGTTGACATTCCTCCGCCTTTTTTGTAGAGCCAGCCTGACTTCAGGGCCTCCTGCTTGGTGCGGAACCACATGAAGGCCTCGTTCTTCAGGACACACCAGCGCCGCCGCCACGGGTTCATGAGACCTCCTGCAAAAGCCAGGGAGCAACATTTCAGCAGACACACAACAGGGGCCAGGCTTCCATCCTGATCCTGCTCCTGGGCAGGAGTCATTGCCACTTCAGCTCCTACATCAAACAAAGGAACTGAAGGAGAGAAACAAAGTTGTGCCTAATTTCAAACATAGAAAAAACAGAACAAACTAGTGAAACAAAAGCAACACAAAGAAACATATGCACTACTCAAGTATTTTTGTTCTGACTTCAGTTTTGGAGCTGAGAATGAATTGTTTAAGCCCTTACCAAGAAGGCACAATTAAGTCTTGGTGGCAAAGATATCCCTGATACCCGGCTCCTATCTCTTTGTTTTAAATAAAGGAAGAAAGAAAAAGGAGAATAAACTGAGAACTAAGAGCAAATAAAGATCATGATTCTGGACAAAGAGAAGTGGAAAGCAGTTTTCCTGGATCCCATCCACCTATGGTTTTGGCAAAATCCACTTACCTTTCATGTAGAGGTAACTGTGAAAATAGGGCGGCCCTGAGCCATTGAAGATAGTGACTCGTCCATTACAAAACTCTTCATCTGTATCAATGTAAACATCTACTTCTTCTTCACTCTCCAGAAACTGAAGAAAAAGAAGATATATAGGCTACTTTGGTTCTCCTGGTCATGGGAAGACTGGAGTCATTAACAGGGTTAGAGAAGTAACATGATCAGAAGGTGCAAAACTACACACAGTCCCTTTGCAAAAAACCACTACGGTAAAAGTAGAGGCTTATCCATTAATGCCTAAAGCAAAAGCATGGAATTTTCATACCTGAAAGGAGAGCAGTGGACATGGCTAGAAAGCTCCAGTTCCCTGCAGCAACAAAACTTCCTGTTTCAAGGCAGAGCCCACCTTGCCAAATCTAATTTGACGGGATTAAGAGAGAATTTTTCATTTTGGAGAAGTTTTCTGATTTTTCTGGCAGAAAGGCCACAATGCCAGACAAGATGGAACAGTGATTTAACTCCAGCAAGGAAATTCAGGATAACTGAACCCCAAAAACACCCATCTGAATTACTGAAATAATAGTATTGAATTTACTCATCTCTGCTCTCCAACTAGATAAAGACCCTCAGCCATAAGAAAGTACTTCACACACAAAATAATTTCCTTCACCTTAAATACAATTTCCTTCAATTTGCTTCATTAACCTAATACTAATGAAGGCAGTTCCTTAGACCTTTCCCTTCCTCAAATGCATATTGCTTCTCTTCATTTTCCTTTCTGTCTTCTCTCTGTGACCTTCTTTAGCCTCATCCCTGGTCCACTCATTCATTTTCTCCCTTGGTTTAAGTTCCAAAAACCCGACAGTCCTGGAACAGCAGCTATTGTTGGGATCCTGACTCATCTGTAGTTATCGCTTCCTGTGGCTCACACTATGACAAATTATCAACTGGCTTTTTCATTAGTCTTACTCACTGATGACCCCAACAAAACCCTCCACTTCTATGTGCATTTTAAGAAGAATGGCAGAAACCAGCCCAAGCTGTGACAGAATGATTCATGATTTGAAGATTACCTGACAGTGATCTGTGAGTACCTGCACAGAGAAGGTACCTTTACTCAAGCAGATCAATAAAAAATTCTGATGGCTGGCAGCTGACATTAGGGAAATGCAAACAAAACAATCATGCAACTTTTTAAAGAAAGGTCACAATCTGTCACTGGAAAAACATACTGAAGAAAATAAATGGAGTTCCTAAAAATATAAAAATTCAATAGTTTTTTTAAAGATATTTTGTAGTTCAAGCATCTCTTCTCAGGGATATCATTTATTGGAAGTATTTTTGTGGCTGTCATTGGCTTCACACCTGAACTCTTCACAATCTTATGTGGGTTTTGACATCCTGTCCTGTAAGGGGATTTATCATTGCATTATTAAGCAGCTGGACTGAGAGCACTCAGACCCCGTGTGGGATCTAAGCTGAGATGCTAAAGTGTGAGGCCAACAGCCCAGCTTTACCACCCAGTCATTGTTCCTGCAGCAGGAATGAAAAGATCCAGTGATCCTGGCTGTGTGCACTGAGACCCAGCCCAAGCAGCAAAGTAATTTCTTCCAGCTTTAGAATAACTTAACTTGTACATAGCAGCTGAAAAGAAACCCTTGACTCTGAATAGACCTAGAACAAGAGAAGTTTTAGTCATGGAGACAAATCAAATCCCAGCCTTTCCCATTTCCTCTTGTCATTGCACACTGGAGCATTAGGCCCCTTCTGTAAAATCTAAGGTAGAACTTAAGCCTACAAAGTAAAAGTTGTTTCCTTTCCTTCCTCCTAAAGGGTGTTACATTAACATATGGCAATGGAAACAATCTAAAATGGGTACACATGTACTAGCTTGTGTGTCAGCAGACAATCACAAGCCCTGTGGCCTTCAGCCTATCTACGACTCTTCCCTTTTTTTTCAAGCTGATTATTGATATAAGAGAGAGTTACATATCAGTAACTATACCCAGGCAATACTGTAGCAGGCATACAGTAAGAAGGCAAAAATGTTATAAACATCAACAAAGTCACACTAATGTCCAGAAAGGTGAAGGGAGAGATTCTCACCGAGTCCAGGCTGCCACGGTTGGAGTCCAGGCTGGTACCATGGGAGTGTCTCTGACCCTCTTCATCATTCAGAGGCTCAGCTGAGGCATTACCTGCATCTCCATAGCCATCAAACTCCTCGTGGTCATAGTCAGACTCCACATCTGGGGGGGAGGTGTAAATGGGCTCTCCTGCTTCTCCACTGTTACTCCTCTGTGTATCAGAGACAGCGCTGTAAATACTTTCTGCTGGGTCAGATAGGGCTCTCTGCTCCTTGGGGCTAGTGGCTCTTTCCACAGGCAGTCCTGGAGCGGGGGCAACCTCTCCCACTTCCCTCTGGAGATACAAAAGGCTTGTGTTTGCAACTTCCTTTGAGTAGCGACCACTGTTTCTTGTGCCATGCTGATTTGAGACCACCAGACTGGAAGCTGGCCGTCCTTCATCATCAGCATGAAAACCCTCGTCCACTTCTTCTTCAGCCAGTGGTGCCACCAGGCTGCAGTCAATATTCAGCGTCCCCTCACTAGAAAGTGAACGTTCTAAGTTCTGCACACTTTCATCCAGATTGCCAAAATCCAGCAGCTCCAAGAATTCCTGGGCAACCCTTGATGCCTCTTTTTCCAACCTCTGTATCTCTTCTTCTCGCTGCCGACAGATTTCATTTCTGGTGTCTTCAGAGACGACAGACATGTGATCCTCTTTCTGTTGCTGCAACTTTTCAATCTCCTTCTCCAGTCTTAAGATCTCCTCCATCTGACGTCTCTCTTCTTCTTGCAGGGGAATATCCACCTCCTCAGTGTTTACTGTTTCCACCTTAAAGAATTTAGAACAGTGTTAAAGCAATCTGTCTATGTTCCTTGCCTAGACCTTTCATTCTTCCTGTCTCCTGTGCTTGCCTTGTACTTACCATCAACAGAAGGAAGAAGCATCCTGCAATCATTCATGGTGTAAAAGCTAAAGGTAGAACTACTGGATCTTCAGGTACCTCCTTTTTCCCAGCAATCTACCTCCATTATGAATCATACAAAGAAGCTCACTGGTTTCAGTGAATTGTTAGAAAAGCCTCTCTATCTGTTGGCCACTGTACACTGCAATTTGGATAAAAGTAGCCTGAAAGTCCATTCTCTCTTTGAACTCACATACATATAGGAGAAAGCAACTATATATGAATACATATATGCACAGACTACTCAAGAGCTGAAGATTTCCCAGAAATTCATTAAGAGGTCTGGAAATTTCATTGTTTCCTGAAATGAGGATCTGACAATCAGAATCTGGGGCTGGAAGGGGTATTTGCATGAAGCAGGACTCCAACCACAGCCCAACAAAACTCCACCCATAATTTCTTGGCATTCTTTGGCATCACTAGATGGCTGATGGCTGACTGCTGAAGACTCTGTCTTACTCTATTCTCCACACTGAAGTAACAGGAAATTTCTAGCAGATACATAATAATTGGAAGATGGAAGATACTGGTAACATTAACTGATGTTTAGGATAAAGTCACCCTCCCCTCCAGGAGGATGTTGAAAAAATACACATGAGAGAACAGATATGCACATGAGAAAAAGTAAAAATAAATTCCAATAGGAGTTCATGTACTTCCTTATAAGATTTATGACAATACAGTCAATATATTGGCTCATTTAAGCCTTAATCCTTGTTTTCTTTAGTTACCCTGTTGCTTGTTCTATACTTGACTCTAACTTGTGGATTAATACATTTCTATGCTTCTAATCTCTCCTGAACAAAGATGGTCTGAAACTGGGGAACAAGGAGTATGGGAAAAAGCCCAGTGAGATACACACCCATTTCCACACACCTCAGGGTAGGTGGTCTGCTCTTTGGTATGTCAAGTACCAACAATTAGATCAGTTACAAGGGGTCTATTTTAGCCATGGCACCAGTTGGCTGCACTCTCATTTCGGCTGTTACAGGCAACAATCCAGCAAAACAGACTGTTTCACAGTGTAGCACATCACAAGGTTATCTAACAAGCTCAAGCCCTAGAGATAAAAATAGGATGCTGCATGTTCAATATGGAAATTTTCAAATAGAACCAATGCAAGCTCATTGAGAGCTTTGAAGAGCCTTGAAAAAAACCCTACCTCGTTAAGTCTGTGCACCTCTGCCAAAGCCAAACAACTGCAGTCTTTGAGTGAACAAAGCCCATTTTTTTAAATAGTGCTGCCACAATAACAGTATCAGTATCCAGGCAAAGTGCAGGCAATGAAGGACTCTTCACAGATATTCACAAGAAAACACGTGAAAAGAACAACTGTTAAACTTACCTGGGCCACCTGCAGTAGTGCATTCAGCTGCTCCTTTTCTCTGTCAAAAAACAAGACATAACAGTCAGAGACAGATCTAGTTCTCCTGTGTGAGGTTTTCAGAATTACATGGACGCATCATCCCTCCATGGATAAGGTTAAAATGAGGCACTTGCTGTAAGACTGATTTAAAAGCTTTTGCAATTTAGTAAAAATCCAATCCAATGTGGTTGGCATGACCTTTGTGGATGTAACAGATTTTCCCCACGCACTTAACTTTCAGATCAATTAGAAAATTGGATTAGTTGGAACACACCAGGAAAGACATTGGAAACAGTGACAGAAAGACAAAGCAGACTCACGATAAATGTAAACAGAATCTTCTGAAGAACTATAAATCTGTGAATATTGAGGTTGTATGTGTGTAATTGATAGATATCAGGAAACTGTGTTCATATTTGTAGAACAGAATTATTCAGTACCAGCACTGAATTTGTTTTGCTTTGCTTTTACTATATTAAAGCCCCAATTCGCATAACTTCGCAGTGGCATGCAAAATCCAGTTTATTAGTGAAGACTGTAAGAGTCAGAGTTTGTTAGCAAACATGAGCAGAGAGAAAAAAACACCCTCCCACGATGTTGCAGCTCTACCCAGATCAAAAAGGTTATACTCCAAAACAAAGCTATCACCATGGCCAGTTTCTCCAGAGCAAGTATGCTACAAGCAACTGGACCAGCAAACAGAAAAATGCCAGGGTCATGCTCAGGGAGCAGGAATAAGATGCTGCTGGATGGAAGAAAATTACCACTGCTAGTGGTGACTTTGAAATCTGTAATTCAACCCCTGGGAGAACAGGAGGGCAACAATATTTATTTCCTAGGCCTTGCAGATTTTCCCAGACAAATTCTAAACTGCAGCTGCAAGTCACAAAGTCCTTAAAGCTCTCACTCTTGTGCTCACTCTCTCAAAAAAAAAATTAAAAAAAAACCTCCAGGAAATATTTGTAAACGAAAGCTGACATAAGTGAGATACAGATGGTTCCAGCTCTACTAAAAGATCCCTAGCAGTCATCATGAGTTAAGTAACTACTGTAAATGAAAAGAGGGCTCAAAGGCACAACCATTTTAAAACAAACCAGGAATACCACCTATGATCTACATACCAATTCCTGCAACTGTTCCTCACAGTTTTTAAACCTTTGGTATTTCTTCCTGCTTTCTAGTCATCATCAGTTGATCTACACTCTTCCTGAAATGTGATACCTATAACTAGGGACAGTACTCCAACAGAAGGGTACCAAAGGATCACCCCATCTTACAGAAACAATTCTGTTTATAGGGAACATTTGCTTTCTCCTCTCACACAGCATGACACTGGTGACATACTCAACTCAGCCTCCAGACCTTCCTCCTGCTGTTGAATTAAGCATTCTCCTCCACTCCCTGTGCATTTGATTATTCCTGACTGTAAATCTGCATATGTCTGTACCAAAAGTTATCCTGTTTTTCAAATCCTTTAACTTACCAAAATTATCTGAACTGTAATCCTAGGCCAAATGCCTACAGCCCCTCAGCAGATGGTTTTATCTACAAATTTAATAAGGATGTTCATATTTTCTTATCCAAATTCTTATGAAAACATTGCACAAGTACCATATCCAGCACAGATCATGGAAAAATCCCATTCAAGAGTTCTCTTCTATTTAACAAAAAACCTACTATTGTTTATAAATTAAATGCAGTAAAATCACAAATACTAATCTTTCTTCACATACTTTTTTCCAAAGCAAATTTCTTTTAGCATCCTAGAGTATTGTCATAACATATCAAAGCCCTTACCTACCTTTTACCTACTCAAAGTCAAGCTACCTATCCTCCACAGCTTTTCCCTGTCCATAAGATGTGCTATAAGATACTACAGAAGGAAACAGGTAACTCTAATGCTGTTTGTCCTTCAGAAATCCATACTGACTGGATTACTTTATCAAGCATTTACAATTGATCATTTGTTTCACTATCTTCCTGAAACTGAGGTCAGGCTGACTGGTCCACAATTCCCTTATTCTTACTTTCCCCATAAGGGGGTCATAATTGTTTGGTGCCTTCATCCACAAAGGAGAACAAAGAGAATAGCTACTGTTTTAAACTGCTTTAGCTAGCTCTTGAAGTACCCAAACATTTTCACCAAATCCCCATACCTTCTTTATAATTTGTAATTTCATTTATCTGAGCATTTTCTAACCTTTTATTTCCATGACATGTTCTGAATTCTTGTATATCCTTCCTAATCGTATTTAATATCCAACAGTTAAGCTTTTGGGGAAGATAAAAATAGCATCAAATACCTAATTTTTCTCAATTTTATTATTTTTCTTCCTGTTGAATGTTAGACCAAATTGTTCCATGTCTTCCCCCTGCTAACAGTGTACGCACAATAACTGCATGCCAACTTCTAGCTCATTACAGCTCATATTGTACCTAGGTCCTTCTGATTTTGTCTCTACACTTCTGTTGGGGTTTTTTCCTCATTCTCAGTAGATTAGCTGATTTGCAATTTCTGTGGACTTTCACCTCATTTTTCAGGTCAAGTGAATGTTCAGAAGTTAGCCAAGCTGGCCTGCTGGTACTGTCCTGGCTACTCACTCAGATGCCATTTAACATTAATTAGAAAATGAAAATAAAAGGAGTTTGCCTGATTCCTAGAAACACTGACACTTCTCTGCCATGATGCTGGGCTGAACACATCTCTCATGGTCTGGGAACTAAAGGGCAAAAACACTCTATAGCAAATAAACTAGACAGACTAGACCAGATAAACTAGACTAAACTTCCTTGTATTACAGAATCAAATGCTGAGTTGGAAGGGACCCATCATGATCATCGAGTCCAACTCCTGACCCTGTTCATGGCACCCCAAGAGTCACACCATGTGCCCAAAAGTATTGCTCAAATGCTACCTGAACTCCGTCAGGCTTGGTGCTGTGACTACTTCTTTGGGGAGTCTGCTCCAGTGCTGACAACCCTCTGGGTGAAAAACCTTTTCCTGATACTGAATCTAAATCTTCCCTAACTCAGCTTCCTGCCATCTCCTCAAGTCCTGTCACTGGGCACAAGACTGAAGAGATCAGAGCCTACTCCTCCTCTTCTCCTCATGAGAATGTTGAAGAGCCCAATGAGGTCTTCTCTCCTTCTGTTCCTCTTCTCCAGGCTGAACAGACCAAGTGACCTCAGCCACTCCTCATATGGCTTCCCCTCCAGACGTTCACCATCCTCACTGCTCTCCTTTGGACACTCTCTAATAACTCAATGTTTGTTTTATATTCTGGTGCCCAAAACTGCACACAGGGCTCAAAGTGAGTGCCTCTAACCTTAGAATTTTCTGATGCTTGCCACACAGTCTGATGAGTTCTCCTTTTGGGAAAGTACATAACAAAAGCCTAGAAGAACTACTCCTAAAAAGTGAAGTGTCACACAATTATATGTTGAAATTTATATAATAACAAACCCAGCAGAGTCCAGCAGGTGCAGCAAGCAGCAGTGCTGACCCCACATACAGCAGCACTTCTCATCTGCCACGAGAACTGCTGGGTAAGCTCCTTCATGCTCATGGGGGTTTCCTGCCATCCTTCCCCTTTGTCTCCCAACCAGTCACCTGCAAAGGCCGTCATCTTGAGGGGGAGGGCCTGATGCCATTTTCCCTTTGACTCCTGTGTCAAAGGTGCCATCTTGGAAAGGGGTGTTTCCACCGTTTTGGGTTTCAATTTGTTCTCAGGGAGTTTGTGAGATTCAGTAATTTTGTATATAGTGATTATTTACTGTCGTTTTTTGCCTGATGCAGTTTCACTTGTTAGTAAAGTTACTTTTCCACTTATAGCTATCTGTATTTGTTCCTTACTGGTGGAAAGGGACTGGTTAAACCAAAGGGAGAGAACCCATTTTAGAATGTTCCCCTATAAATTGTCTAAAACCAAGACCGAATGCAAGATACCATCTTGTACCTTTCCTTCACCTCTTCCTCCTCCTGTTTCCTCTTACGCTCCTCCTCTTCTTGCCATTGTCTTTCCTCTTCCTCTCTTCTGATCTGCTCTTCCTCCTCCTGCCTCCTCCTCTCCTCCGCTTCCTGCTTCCGCCGCCGTTCCTGCTGCAGCAGGTGCTGGTAGAGGCTGCGAGCCAGGCGGCCACGCCAGTGCTTCTGCAGGGTCACGGCAGACGCCTTCAGGCGCAGCAGGCTCTTCTTCCAGAAGTATGCTCGGTAGTTCTTTTGGATGATAACAACACTGGATAGCACCTTCTGGTACTTCTTCCTAAAAACAGAACCACACACTTAATGCACCACGAAGTCATACATGCTCTGCGTTCCTCGTGCCCTTGCGTACTGATCACATCCACAGGAAAGTCCTTCTGGAAAACATAATCCAGAGGTGACATGATTTTTGCTCCTCTCCTGCCACTCACTATCTGTAAATCATATTCACCTCACTCTTCTCCCTCCTAAATCTACCACTGGTTTGTTTCAATGGGCACCTACTTTTGTGAAGACTCTCAGATGATGAGGGAGAGACATTTGGCACATGGAAAGGGAAGGCCCTCTGGCCCAAAGTCTCCTTGCATTGCACATAAAACACATTCACTGTGCAGTGAGCGTAATAACTCAGTATGGATTTATTGTAATAGCAACATACAAATGGCCTTACTATGATGAGAACAAATATTGCTGCATCTCTTAAGTGGTCAAAAGGAAATTACTCCAGGAAAGGCAAAAAACAATGCAAAAATAGATTTGGTCACAAAAATTTCACACTGTCTGGAAGGAAACACACTGATACCACAATATTGATGGCCGAATCAAACATTGTAACAGATTCACATAAACAAATACTTCCATTGCACAACATTTTGCCTAAACAAGAATCATAGAATATCTTGAGTTGCAGGGGACCCACAAGGATCATCGATGATATCAAAATCAACTTTACAGCACTTTAAGAACATGATAGGGCCCCAAAGCACAACAATCATCATTCAGTATTCCTGTAGTCTAGTAAAGTTGTAGAAAAGTCAGGTTTTTCTTCTGCATTAAAGTCTATTTTTATCAAGGACATGAAAAAAGTTCCTGGTAGAAGTTTGTACATGATACACAAACTGAGCAAATAACAAGTTACCATTACACAGTAATCTGGATCAATTTGTAAGCTAGGTTCAAGCAAACATTAAACAATCCAAAAGAGCCAATCGTAAGGTCTTGTATTGAAGAATCAAAGGCCAAACACAACTGATGTGGGACTATGTTGGGAAGCAGCAAGTCAAAACTGGATTTTTGGGCCCCAGATCATCACACAAAGGCAAACTCCCACCACAACACTACAGAAAAAATACTACTGGCATTTTTATACTTGTAAGCAGAAATATTGTTGCATAGAACACTGCTTTTATCCTGAGTTCTGTGTTAGCACCCCCATTTCAAGAACAATGTTACACCTTCAAGTAATTTCTGAGGAAGAAGGATTGGAAACAGAAATTCAGGCTTATAGAATGAGAGCAACTGCTCCATGCAGGGATTAAGAAATAGAAAAGCCTAAGGAAAGGCTTTACCCCAGTTAGAGTATCTACATTTTTATTTTTCCAACAGGGGCCATAAGATTTAACCAACCTGAAGCTGGTATCTATTAAGGCTGAAAATAAGCAGACATTTTATAAAGTAATTTAATATATTTAGACATCTTACTATCTTGCACTGGGGAAACAACCACTGGTACTAGTGAAATCAAAAACTTCTTTAATCCAAACCAAAATGCACAGAGAGAAGTTCTATGGGACTGTTACACAGGATCTTGGGCCAACAGGCTACAGTAAACTTTGAGGTCTTACAGTCCTGGAAGCACACTGGAAATAGCATGATATTCTCACATAAACTTCCCAGAGACCTTCTGCAACGCCCTGAGGAAAAGACACACCTTAAAATCCCTGTCCTGACAAGGAAATTCCCTTCAAATGGCAGCAGAGACCCATGCTGAAAGCTTGACAGCTCCCTGTACATCAGATACATCAGCCCAGAGAGGGATGCTAAAAGTGATACTGTGCAGAGGTCACGCTCTTTTCCCTAAGTATTAAGTCAAAGGGAGGAAGCACAGAGAAAAGGAAAGGCAAGAGGTGGTAAGAAGTAGGTGGTTTTAGGTTAATTACTCCTGGGCTGCAGTCCCCTCATCCCCACTCCTTCTGTCCACCCTGTGTCCTGCACACAGAGTGTGAACAGCTGCACATGCACACTCTGCCAAGGCAGACTAAGTGCATCAAAAAGAGTACTCTGACTTCTACAAAATGCATCTGCCAGAAACTCTCTCAAGTGCAACATGTGCCAAGCCCTGCCCAGCTCCAGGCCAGCTCTGCCTGCTAATCTGCCAGGCTGAAGTGCCCCCTCATTCCTCATGACCACAGCCAAGCTTGCAGATGCCCTTCAGCTGGAATTGCTGCTCAGAGGCCGTGAATTTCATCCCCCTTGTTCAAGCTTCCACTCACCCTTCTGCACTGGCCAAAGAAGTTCAACCCGTAGACCAAGCAAAGGAGCTGGGAGACCTCCTGACCATGTATCACACCAGAGAAAGCAGGCAGGCTGCAAGGCTCCAGTGCTGTATTTGAAATTTACTTAATCATTGTGTCAATGAGCTGTAGTTAGCAGTTGTACCTCCAAGGACTAGAGATCACATAGTTATGGAGCAATTTGCTACTGTCTTCTTCCCATGAGCAATACAGTCCTGAAGAAATCAGGGATACAGCCAGATTCCTACATGGATCCTGCATTATGTGGTTTTTAGCTGGTGAAGCTGTTACCTGCATCTCAGAGCTCCAGAGATTAGCTACATAAGAATGGGGTCATTTCAATGGGCTTCATTTTCTTGTCTTACATTTTAGTGATCAGAAATACTAGGTTGCATAGGCTGCAGGGAATGAGAGCAAAGAAAATCTGGTTCTCCAGGCTCACAGAACAAGTTCACAAAGGGGGAGAAACCAGTAAAATCCTTCCTTTGCCAGTCTAGTTTGCATGAGACCAAGTGAATTTAAATACATTTATACTTGCAAAACTAACAGAAATGGTATCAAGTTTAAGGCAGCACATGCTGGTATTCCTGCATAGCTCTGCACAGACCATTCAGCACTTGCCCAGATGAACTCCTGCCTGCTGGACTTTTTTCAGTACAGGTGCAGTGCAACTGGAAACTCTTCACATAAAATTTTACAGACCCCTTTTTCAGCTCTTCTTTACTCCCTGCTCTCCTCCCCTGTGATGTCCAGTTACCTCCAGCTGCTCGTGAAGATTTACACTCCGGCTGCAGAAGCACAGCTTGTCCTTAAGGGTGAGACTCATAACAGCAATATGTGGGATGAGGAATTCATAAGTGTGGAGGCTGAAGGACCACAAGATTTCTAACCAAGAGGAACACTGCTGCCACACAGTCTCCGTCACAGCCCTGCAGGGCAGCAGCTTCCTCATCAGGGACTCAGAAAAGCAGTAATCTGGTACGCCTGCAGTGATGTTTCCCAGCAAATCAATTTTCCTGTGCTAATCCCAACCCCTCTCTCCAAATGCTAGACACAAAATAAGAGAGCAAAGGCCCTGACACAAAGAACTTGCAATCTCATGTACAAACAATAGAGCGAGCTCATTTGTCTTCCTAGAGGCAAATAAATAAATTAATAAAAGTCCCAGAGACCAAATGTGTATTTTGCTGATATTCCACACTGGCAAGGCACACATTTCCTAACGCAAAAGGAGCTACCTGGTGTAACTGGAGCTCTAAGAAGAGTGTCTGCTGAAAACAGCTCTGCTGGCCAGGGATTTCACCTCCTCACAACCCTGACTGACAGGTGTCTGGAGCAAAGACCAGCCAGGAAAGAGCATCTTACTGGGATTAAGTGTGCATACCACAGCCATTAAGGAGTCAGCTGTTGCACTGACTTCGAGGGGCAGAGGGGGGGGGCAGTTTGTCTGCAGTTGGTTCTCCCAAACCTTCTCTGGTCAGGTGCAAAAGGGAGAGGCAAGAGGAGATTACTGTTGCAGAGCTGGCCAAAAACCAATTCTGAAGAGTTAATTAAAAGGAGAGGGAGATCACGAGGCAAACAGGCAGGGCGAGGAAAGAGGGTGAGCAAAGGCAGAACTGCAAGTGAGGAAGAAGCAATTGGCAGGGGGAGCAGAAAACAGAGTTGACAGGCACAAGGAAAAGGAGGGGACCCAAAGCGTAGGTGGGGCCCAGCCAGGAGGGCCCTGGAGGCAAGGAAAAGGTGTCATCAGAGGCAAGCGACGGCTACAGAAGTCCACGAGAAGCCTGCTGAGCAGCGTCGAGGGAGGGTGCAAACGTGCACATAACTGAAAAAGAGATGCCAAAGGTGCAGGAAGGTTTCAGCAGAGCTGATGCTAGCAGGGAGGGCAGATTCTGCAACTCTCCCTTAGAATATAGGAGGGGAAGACGGGACGGATGCTAGGGGACTAGGAAGCAAAGCAGGGTGTCGGGGCAACCCAGGCACGCAAGCACAGGGATGGTGGGGCAGCCCCCAGCACTGACCTTGCCATGTAGCCCAAGACGTGGGCCCGGATGACTATTGCTGCTTTCCTCAACTCCTCTTCCCGATCCTTCTCCAGCTTCTGCTCAAGAGCTTCCTTCAGGAAAACCTGACGCCACGGGGAGGAGTTTCAGCAAACACAAAGAGAGGAAAGAAGTCAGTCCCCGGGAGAGCCGGGCAGTTTGATCCCCGGGTGAGCGGCGCGGGCAGAGCGCTCCGTGCCCGGCCGCGCTCCGTGCCCGGGCTCTGCCGCCGCCGCCCCCGCGCTGCCCCGGCGCTGCCCCGCGGCGCCCGCACTCCGAGCGCCGCCAAAACTTCTGCAGCGGCTGAGCCAAACTCCGTGCCCAACCCCCGCCGCCCTCACTCTGTGGTCAAGACTTAAAAGAGAGAGGGAGGGAGCAGAGGAAGGAGGGAGGAGGAGAGCCCAAGTTTGCGCCTGTGATTAACTCTTTCCCAGCTGACAGCCTTCCCGGCGCAATCCGGTACCTCCCTGCAGCAGGCACTGGGACCTGCTTGGGTGATTAAACATTTTGCAGAGAAACTCCTCCGCGTTTCAAGGAAAGGGAGGAACTTTTAGATTTCTAGACTCCAGGAAGTAACCTTAACGGCAATCCTAATGGAAGGCAGGCAGAAAGCCAAAAGCCCAGCCGAGGCACAAAGCTGCTCGTACTCTCAGCCCACCGGTGCTGAAGCCCTCCACCGACCTCCAGAAACCCTGGGGAGAGATGCTTCCATGCTGAAGAGGTTCGACAGTGGAGCTTGCACTAGGGTCAACTGAGCTCAGACAATATAACTCTCCAATTATTAGTGGCACATCAGTGTCCAGTATTTTAATTCTCAAGCATCTTTCATCACCTGTATTTACAACTTCTGCTCCGTGCTAAAAACTTGTGAAGAATGCAGGCGCTATGTTAAAGAAAAAAGAACTGAGATTCAAGCAAGATAAGGCCATGTTTACAGGAATTGTGCTGACATATCTAAGCAATGTTAAATCAGCTGGCTTGAATTAGGTTAGCACAGGATTCAGCACAAATTCCTGAAATGAATGCACTGCTTTTTGAGATGGATTGCAGCCTGCACGGAGCTCCACGGCGCAGTGGGTACACTGCTAGCAGTACCCAGACTGGAATAAGCTGGTAAGAGATGTCCATACAAGCTGCAGTCACAGCAGCAAGTGCCATATGGCCATGCTCGTGTGACCTGCAGCCTGGCATTGGATAAATCCCTGCCAGGACCAGCAGCAGAACCGGCTACACTAGAGAAGTGCAGCCCCACTTGTTAAAGCACTGCCATGTACACAGGATGTGTGCTGATATTCATCAATCTGCAGAACTCAGAACCACATTAATCAGTAGAAACTCCTTACAAATATACTGGACCATGTGGTTGTGCTGTGAGGCCAGAGATTTGAAGAGTCATTTAATCCAGTCTGCACAGATTCTCCTCTTTCCCACTTATCTCCCCTTTATGTCTCTCTATACCTTCCCCTCCATCACTGCTTTTGGTCTCATCCCTCAAGGCTCTTTCTTTCCCCTGCAATGGCCATTGTGTACTGACACCTCTCCTTGAGTTAGTACCCACTGCCAGTGCCTTTCCTGGACTTGAATTTCTCCTGGGGAACAGTTTCCATTAAGAAATGAGCTGTTTTGTAATGACTAAGTAACCATGGGTAGCCTGAAAAGAAGCTTCATTATCAAGGTACTGCCAACCATGAAGCTGGCATCCTTCCCTGCAAGTGGTACATCCACTCCCTCTGTCAACTCAACAATCTTTTAAAGATTTCTCTGAGGCAGGGATTGCTCTTTCCATTACATTCCAGAACCAAGCAGCAGTCACCCATTTCAAGAATGCAACCAGCAAAACACTGTCTCGGTCCATTATCTTCATCAAATTGCAAAAATACTCAGGCCATCAGTATTTCCCTAGCAAGCACAGTCTTTGCTGAGCCAGGCCAGTTAAGGGGGGAAACTTCAGGGCATGCAGAGTTCCATGAGACCCAATCCTAATCCTAATCCTATAGGATTATATAATCTATATATGCTTGAGTGAGGGGTTAATCTCAAAAAGACATAAAAATATTTAGTTATAAACTGTTGGCATTTTGAAGGTTTGGAGGTTTTTTCAGACTCCACTAGATGACAAGGAAAAATAACATGCATTTCAAATCCAGAAGTATTTTTGATGCTTTGCAGAAATAAACTGGAAAGTGGCTGTTTCTTTGTCATTATTCATAGTCATTTTCTGAAAACATGAGATTGTTTTCATCTGAGAAAAGAATGATTGAACAAAACATACAAGGTTACGTCTATCATTCTGCTCCTACTCATGTTTTAAATCACAGTCATCACCACAGTGTTCCTCACACAACCTCAAAGCCTGCAATGCACCATCACTATGATAGTGAACATGTTAAGGTTTCACAGACATCAGCAGACACAAACGAAACTGCTTGGGCACCCATGTGTTCATAAGTGGGATCATATGATTCTTGGGGACAACACTGGGAAAGCAGGAAGTGGGTCACTGTGACCTGGATGACAAAGTGTACAGAAACCTTCTCCTGCAAATAGGCCCTGCAAACCAGCAGGTTGAAATGTGGAAACTAATGCCTTCAAATAGCAAAGGTTACTGTGTTAAACCACTGTAGGAAATCTGTGTTGTGGGTATGGGCAAGGATGGCAGAAGGCCCAGGTGCACTGAAGAAAGGGTCATGAAAGCTGCTGCTCCATCCCAGCACATCCCCAGTGAAGGCAAAGGCAACTTAGCACAATCTCTTTCATCATCATATTGCTTGTTTGCATCCAAGCCCTCAACTCTGCCATACCACCAGATAAAACCTGCATTGCATACATTAATACCTCTTATAAACATTAATTTGACAATTGCCAGCAAAGCAGCTGCTCTATTCTTAATGAAAAACACAAAGATCATCCTGCCCTTCCTCCTCCGTTTCCTTTCCCAAGCTTCACAATCCCCTGCACTAATTCACAGAGTCTTTTCCTTCCTCCTTCAAACAATTGCTAGGGATATAATTATCCTTCCATTCATCTTGCAGGAAGTATTCCCCCTTCTATAAGCCTTGCTCTTCACCCACCCCTTATACTTCTTCCTAGGTTATATCCCCATAGGCTTGGCACACCTTTTTCAGTAGCTACTCCTAACTAAGCTGAGTTCTGGGAATACCAACCTGAGTACCCAGAGCTGCACCTGCAGCAGCAGAAGTGGCAGTAAGGCCATGAAGAGGACTTCCTTTTCAGGACAATGACCTATGCTCTGTTCCCCTTTGCTGGTAGCTTTACTTCACCTTCACCTGAAAGACTCTGGAAAAATTAAAGCTCTTTTCTCCATCAACCCAAGTATTCCAGACCTTTGTTACCTAGCACCAGCTGAAACATGAATGCAGACAAAGCCGTCTGTAATCCAAGGCACAACAGCTAGATGCAGACAGCAGGGAAGGTATTATCAGGAGCACCACTGCTCTGCAAGGCCTCATCTTGGCATCTGCTTTCCCAGGGACAGGCTTTCTGGAGGCAGTTGCAAAGTGGTCTCCAAGGGAGAAATGAAATGGCTTTGCATGGGAAACAATGCCAAGCAACTCATCTGAAGAGAGAGAGGGCAGGGTAATACACCTTGGAATGAGAGCACCTTGGAGCAGCCAGGGGCTGTCCAGCCATTTAACATGGAGCAAGTGTTGAACATGCCAGAATAGCCTTGGAGTAATCCATTCTTTCAATAAATAGAACTGCTCCCTTCTACCAGGACATACATCCCTAATACAAACCATGCCCAATAGACAGTAACTTCTACAACCAAACAAGATGGCTCAACTGCTTCCCAGCTCCAGTGAGTTTTCCTTCTCAGGCATAAAGAATACAAAAATTGCCTCTCTTAATAATTTCTTTCTTTCCACAATATTCAGAGTCACAGCAATCAGTGCCCAAGCATGTTTACCAACATGCCACATACAGCTCTTCAGTCAAGTTTTAGATAACAGGACACAATCATTAAAAAATAAATACATTAGAGTATATCCAGAATTTTGACAAAATACACACACATTTTCTTTGCCACAATTACCACCCATATTGGTTTTCTTTCCAGACAATTTGTGCACGTCAAGGAGTGAGTGAAAATAGACAGATGGACTGAGTCCTTTATGATGCACAATGGGGACTGAAGAGAAGAGGGACATATAGCTTCCAGGGGCTCAGAGCAGCCTGGATTTGCTGCTTGTTGTTAGTCTGCTGTAGGCCTTGGAATCCAGCTCTATAGCTTATAACCTTTCATACTCTAAAATTTTACTATGTGCATGTGAGTTTGGTTCTCCATCCTGCCACTTTTGCTGTAGTGCAGCAATCTTCCATCTCTTGTCATGCTAGGAAAAAAGTTCAAACTCTGTGTTTACCAGCTCTAAACACCATTTTCTAAAGCTTTCCAGACAGCTCTGCAACACACACACACTCTCCACATAGGCTTTAACACTAAAATGCTGGGAGACTGGCAGTCACCCAAGCAATGTGGATTAGCCAGGAACAGGAATGACCAAAATGGTTCCTGGTTTGCAGGCACCAGTGAGGAGACTCCTGATTCCAAAATCAAAGGCAGGGAACACTTTAATCACAGAGCAGAAATACAGTTAAGTGATAAAATCTTCTTTCTGGAACATCAGTGGAGGCATGGGGAAAAAAAAACACAAAACAACCAAGCTCCAGATTAATACAAGTCCTTCTCACAGCAATGGCCTGTGGTTTCCTTGATTGTCACATAGAGCTCATAGCCCAGACTATTACCCGGACTACCACCAGTCCTCAAGGAAGAGGAGAGAGAGATCTTGCTCTGATAAATATTATTGAGAAATAATTGCTCAAAGCAACAAATGTCATTATCTGATCTCCTGGACAAATTAAATGTGCGCGTTCACTAGAATCACTTCTGTTTTCATTGTGGCACTGGAAATATTCTGAAGCACTTTCCTGAAGGCTTAAGGGCAAAAAATGCAAGAAGTTGCTTTGATGTACTACCATCTGCTCTAGATATGGACTGCATATCCACTATTGAGAAATGCTGCCTGCATTGGACACCATCCATCTTGGAATATTCTTTGAAGAATTTACTGGAATACGTGGAAAGTTGTGATAGAGACAGCTTCACACTCCCAGATTTCTATAGCAATATACCTCAAAATGTTCACATCTATTTCTGCATGAAAATCCAGACTATTCAAGGCAAGAGAGAAGTGTTAAACATTCACCAAAACAGAAGCAAGATCTGAATTACGCAAGTGGGCAGAGCATTTGGATACCTCTTCATAAAAATGTATGCTAGCATCTGGGCTAGCTGCAAAAGCATCATCTGAGCTTCCCCAACAGAAAGCTGTCATACATCTGGTGATGTAGCTATTCACAGCTTAGATATATACCAAGATTCAGCTCACTGCCTCAGGCAAGAATTTCAGTTAGTCAAGCAGAGTGAAATACCTGGCACAAGAGGCAAGAGTTAATGGCACACATTACAGTTACATAAAATGAGACCCATGCTTGTTCCCCTTGAATTTTAAATTGGATCAGACACAACAAAATCAATCTGGCTCGGTCAATTAGGAGTTTAGATAAAATCCAAAAAACCTGCTATGTGTCTACATAATACAGGAAATATTTGAGATGCTGAGGTCAGTGTCATAGGCCAGTGTTTGAAAGGATCATGACTGCAGTGGCTTGCAATCTGACCCAATGCAATCACGTTCCCTTGCCGCTGGAGCAAAGCCACACCCTTCCCCACACTGATGAAGTACCTTGGTTTTACCCAACTGCCATTCTTTCTTGCTGCTGTCATAGATCTGAAGAAAACTTGCACATCGAGCTTTGCTGTTGTCCGGGAGGCTTGGCCCCTTCACAAGCATCTTGTACCTAAGAACAAAATAGAATTTCATCAGATTATGGATGACAGCAACTGCCCCCTCCCTCTCTCTTCCCAATCTTTTAACTTTAATTATCCTCCTCCCATTAGTCCTTCTTCCTCTGGGACCTTCCTTCTTCATGTTTGCCTTCCAATTTGGAAATTTCCATCCCCCCACCTTTATCTGTTCCTACCACACTGGCAATTATTGTTGCAATCCCACTAAAAGAATACAAACTCAACAGCATTTTTCATTAAAGAACAACTATCTTTTTGAAACATGTGCTTTCATCAGACACAAGTTATTTTGTTCAGTATAGGGGTGGCATTTAGCGCTCCATGAGACAAAGGAAGCAATGTTCAGTGTCCCTTCTAGCCTTAAACTTCAAAAAATCTTTTTGATGTAGCTCACTAAAAGAAATAATCACTCCTTCCAATATTAATCATCAACTATACTGTCCATTAGAATTTTCTTCAGCTGCCTAACGGTTTTAGGCATGGTATTTTCCTTTTACATAATATGACCAGCTGGGTTTCACAGCATCACACTAGCAAATCTGTGGCAAAGCTACCAAGGAAAAAAAAGACAAAGAAAAAAAGACCAAAGACCATCTGGCTATTTTTCCATTCTGACTTTTATCCTAAAGGCAAGTCTCCAAAAGGCCTCCCAGATCGGTCTATGATATGAGCATTAAGACCATGGTTAGAAAAACATCCCACAGATGCTTCACACCAGAAGAAGCAGTTAAAGACGGAACAGTCATATAGAATTCTATACTTTGGGGCTGTTCCAGCATACAATACAATGGCAGCAATTACCTGCTGAGAAAGTCCTGGAAAAGGCGGCGTACAGGGAAACCTGCTCTCCGAACTTTCACTGTCTCCAGCATCCCTGAGTACCGGAGCTGATTTAGCACCACATCTGGATTAAAGAGGTTCGGCGCCTAAATAATGATCCAGAATCAAAACTAAGTAACTGAGGCAGTCACAGTATATCTGTTTCAATGTAGAAAGCCAAGCCTGCATATTTGGGCATGCCAGGTAAAAAAGGGGAAGTTTGGGTCAAGGGAAAAGCAACTTCACAACACTGCACAGTGCAGAATAGACAGAAGGGAATTGGGCTGGTTCTGGAAGAAAAACAGTTTGCAGACTGCACTCACAGTTCGACTATGGTAGGAAAGCAAAGATACAATGTCTGAACACCTACAGAGTGCAGAATCCTGACTCAGTTCTCTCTGCAGTCTCTCTTTTCAGTTAAACTGGAGACAAACTACAGAATTCTTTTCTGGCATAAATCCCCTAAGCAGCCTGTCTTCTGCCATATCATTCATGGTTTCAAAACATGCAAAGAAAAGGATCAGTTAGAGCTCCCCACCCAATCTAGTTAGCAGCATGTGCTCCTGCCACAGCTCACAGCACAAGAGAGGGCCAGCCTGTCCCTAAGCACTGTGACTTGCTCATGATGTGTCCACCTCCACTGCCTCAGAGCCAGGGATCTGCAGGAGACAGTGCCTACTGCACAAACCCTTCATTGCAGAACTGATTTTGCTACAGGAACTAGAAACAGGAGTGATTGCTTCTTCTACCACAGCTCTGGACTCCGCACAAACCTGGTTAATCCTCCAGGCTTCATGAGCACTGGAAGAGGTGGGAATGGCTATATAATCTCATATTCAGCATGCAAGCTTTCCATCTGATTACCAGGAGGAGGATGTGTTTTTTCTCAACTGTAAAATAACTAGAATGAAAAAGGGAAGTTGGGGAAGAACTGCTCTTACCCTCAGTTTGAGGCACCTGTTAGGCATTTGTGCAAGGGCATGCCCATGCAGGCCTGTGTCACATGCACACATATGGCTGGGAGACAGACTTACCTTTTCTGTATTTGGTTTGATGCAGCGGATGAAAAATGGGTTGGAAGTACTAAGTGTGGCCATCAGGGAATGGAGAGAATCCTAAAGACCAGCAGGAGAGACCCAATCTATCAGTCACTACAGAAGGGAAAGGGGCGACATTTGATGCAATAAGGTCTTCATGCAGCCCTCCCATTCCTAATGTCCTTAGACTCTGCCTACCATAATTTCAACAACCCATGAGATTTCTTCCTGTCCAAAACATATCCACAGTTTGCTCTTAAGACTGTTTATATGGCCATCCGCGTTCTTGGAGCTGTATAGCTTTTGTGAGTTAATTTTACAAGTCTCTTGAACTTTACATACAGGAAAACAAAACAGTACAATAAACAGAAGGTCTGCAGGCAATCTAAGTGTGTGAGATTCATACTTTCAAGGTCCTCCTAATAAGGTTTTATAGGAATTGTCACTATACTTGTAAAAATGTAGCCTAAAAGGACACATACACTTAGCTGAAACACTCAACCAATATGAAAGATCAAAGAACCTCAAGAACTTCATATACTTAGCAAAGTAGTCTTTTCCTCTGCCACCCTGCTCAGTCTTATCATCTCACATTTTATACCAGACAGAAATCCTTGGGGCAGTGGCACTGTCTTTTTTTAGCACTGCAACATTCCTGCACATTTTCAGTGCTGGACACAAAACAGGATGAATGACTCCTCTTGGCTGCAGGCTTTGCTTTACCCATCTGCTCCTCCCCAGAAGCCTGCTGCTCTCTTGGAAAACATCATACCCTGAACTGGGAACTGACAGTCGGTCTGCGCCTCTGGGTGCCCATCTTCAGTGTCTCTTCACTGCAACGACTGCAGACTCTTTCAAAAAGGTCATAGATGAAATCCAGCCTAAGGGAGAAGAAAAGACTTAAAGAAGATGCAAGACTACCACCTGTGAAAAGATGGTTCTTATTGTCAGCTGGCCATTGTGAAACACCTCATTTTTATACCTGCTGTGCCACAGTGGCTGCAGGAAGCAGTTCTGCAGGGCACTTCAGTGAGGAAATTAATACTTCCCATGTAGCTGCCCAGATCCCATGGGCTGCCCTGTATGCCACACTCAGCTGCAAAGCCAGAAGCCCCATCTCACACTTTCAAGCAGGATATTACACAAAGGAAAACCTCCATTCTGCACTGGCTAGGACACCTCCCTTGAGCAAGGAGGGAAAGCTTAAGGGACACCTTTCTTGAGCAAGCATATGCCCCCAGGCAAAACTACCTTGAAGGAATGCCAGCTGGACCTATGCTGTCATGCCTCCCAAACCAGCTTTCAGGATTAGCCTCCACGACGTGATCACGAAATTGGAAGCCCAGCTCTTCTGTGGCCAGAGGAGTTCTAGAGCTACCCTCCATGTAGGTCAGTTCTGGGGAATCTTCCACCATTTTGACACTCCTGAGACATTGGTGCTAGTTCTTACAAAGCTGTACAAAGCTCTTCAGAGCTGCTTGAGCCAGTTTATTGTTAGGTTGCTTCTGGCCCAGTTTCCCTTCTGGCATGTTGAAAAAGCCTGAGTCCTTCCATTATACTGGACAATAACAACCACAATTCTGGCCTCAAGCCTCATGTAAAATGCTCCCCAGATGCCACTGTCCAAGTTAAGACAACTCTGAGCAGCTCATAGTCTCAGCTCCCTCAGGTTATTTCAAAGCTTCTCAGTGCACATTCTGCAGCAGCTTCAGAGAAGATGCAGTTCTGAAACAGCCCCTCAGGCTGGAGCCCAAAGGCAATACATGGACTGTGGTAAGAGGCACATGGTAGAGTTGCTGCTCAAAGACTTGTAGGATCCTCTGTGTTATTAAACAGCTCCCTCCTACTAAGCCCCACTTCTATTTCCCAGATCTTGCTCAAGATCAAAATTAGCTCATTTCTCTAAGGTCATGTTGCAGCTCTGGGATATAACATTAGAGTCCATGCTCAGTCCCACAGCAACAGCTCAGTCTGGCTCAGGATAAGATGATTTCCACTAACAAGCAGGCTGGAAAACAAGCAGCCTCTGTACACAGGCTGGCAATTGACAGCATGGCAAAGAGCATTGACTCATTCAGGGAAAACTTTGCCATTGTTGGTATAGGGATGTAAGAGGAAAAGGAAAAGGAAAGGGGGAAGGGAAGGGGAAAGGGGAAAGTGAAAGGAGGAGGGGAAAAAAACAAATTGCCTGGAGGGATGTCTGTCATACTGTTAAAGCTCTTTTTAAAACTAGGTCAACATGAGTCCTGATTCAATCTGTGCCTCATCTGACTTGTCCAGCTCTCCTTTCTTCTATCAGGACACTTCAGCACAAAGAGAAGAATGATTAAGAATGATGCCTGATGCTCTGGCAAAAGCAACTGCTTTCCTTGGTCTGGTTCATTACACGAATGTGGCTTAGTTCTGCCCAACACACGTAGCCTCCTGACAAGCATACCTGCTGTCTTTCAGCATGTTTAAAATGTCATCACGAAAGGTGTCTCTGTTCTTCTCCAGAAAGCCTCTCACATCATACAGCACCTGCAACACAGTCACAGCCACTAGAGCAGCCTACAGATCATTAAGTCTTTCCACATTTACATAAAATTGTACAAGGCCTCCAGCAGAGCTACACAGTAACACTACAGGCATGTGCCAAGATCTGGATTTCTAGGGTCAAAGAGCTACAGAGTTCTGCAGTTACTAGCCAGAAAGTGGCTTTTAGCCATCAATTAAAAACCACAGAAAAACTCTCAAAAACAAGAGCCAAGTGAAACAGCTGCAAAGATTTTCCTGGCAGGAGAGGGTCTGTGTGGAAATCCTCTGCAAGGTGTGAGGTACTCTATTCACTTCAGGACAGTGAAGAGAATGGCCACCCATTCCTCAACTTCCCAACCACAAGTGCTCAACAGATTATTCTGGGAGGAGGTTAGCCTTTCTTTAATGTGCAAGTGTCCTCCCTTGACACACCTTCATCTGCTTCATATCTGTTCACAACAAAGAGCAACGTTTAACCTTGAAGGCTCAGGAACCTTTTCCTTTTTGCAAAAGATATTCAGCCTTTCCTCCTCCTCCTCCTCCTCAAAAGTCAAGTTTTCCTAGGGACTTTTCTTTTGAGTTTTGTTTGTTTGTGAATGTCCAAGAAAAGTCAACTTGAATAACAGAAGTATGGAGTTTATCCCTCAAACAAAACGTTACCTGAGAAACTCAAACATCCAAGCTGGAGAATGTAGTACTGGAGAGAGACATGCTATTTTAAGCCCATCACACTCGTTGTGCTCTGGTACAGGACATTAACTGTGTGGAAACACACAGCTCAGAGACATTCTTGGTTTTTGGAATCTAGAATTGAGGACGTCAAGTTCAGAATATACCACGCATCTCACAAACACATCATAAACACCCACCTCCCCTGCATAATGCCTTATGCCAAACTGATGGTCTGTCACCCGAGGCTTCACATAGTAGGGGTTGCTCTGAAATGAAAGAAAAAGAAGTTGTCTTATAATGCTGGTGTAAGAATAAATAGCCAGTCAGGAACTCTGCCATGACTATGACAAGGCTGAGATGGGCAAGGACCTTTGCTCTTGCAGAGCCCGACCACATCTGCTGCAGCTATCTGCAGCTACATTACAAATACGTTACTCAAATTTAAGATGGAAATATCCAGCCCTTCAAGGCATTTCTCATGTGAGCAAGGGCTTGCAGAATCAAGGCTGCGGAGGCATGCCATGGATGAAATGTTAATTCTTGTGTGTCTGACACCCAAGGAGACTGAGCTCCAAACAAACCATGTGGTGCAGGACACAGGATCAGGATGCAGGGAAGATGGCAGCTTTGCATAACATCTCCACACCTTTTCTTCATCAAAGAAAATAACATACCAATTTCCTGTCTTCCTCTGTATTTTATCTTTCCTTGCACCTCTCCTCCCCTATAATCAAGATTCAGTTTTCTTTTCCCTTTTTACTCTCTCATTTTCCCCCTCTTTTCCCTGTTCTGTGAAAACCATTTTAACTATTTGAGAGCAGCCACACTGCTCCAGACCAATGATCAATCCAGCTAAGTATTCTGGCTCTAGCACTCGCTATGTAGGGTAGCGTACAAAGCAAGGAAATAAAACTTTCATCCTAATATTCCCTCAAACTCTTAATTATTTCTATGAAGCCTTCCTAACTAGTAACCCCAAATGGATTTCTCTTTGAAATACTTGCTCATTCCACAAGTGAACCCATGCAGACTTCTTGTATCTAGAGTGTCCTTTCACAGGGAGCTCTCAACCAACTCCATAGTCCATAGGGAACTAGAGCTGCTTGGATTTAAGCCTGGCTTCCATCAGTGCCATTAATCTTCTATAGGGCACGTGTGAGTTTTAAACCCATCACACCCACTCAAGTTGTTTTGTCTCCACCCTTCAGGTCCCTTCAGCACAGTTTTCTGCAGCACTGAAGCTGTCCCAGACCTGCTGTTACCAGTCCTGACAGAAGCCCTCCTTGAGTGGAGGGGCTCCGTGGTGTACCTGGTTCAAAGTGAAGGTGATCTACAGACTATACAATGCCATAACAATGCTTTCTACTTTTACTGGTAGTTTCTGGGGAGCTTTTACTACTTCTTTTGGGGACTTTTATTACTGCTGAGCCCTGTGCTGGTATTTCTATGGAGTTTCATCACAGCCTCTGTTTGGGTCTCATTCCTGAAGTCAGTTCGGGGTCCATAATTTCAAAGATGAAATTGGGACTGTTTTCCTTCAGGCACAGCATTTTACATTTATCTACATTGCTTTTCATTTTCATTTTCACTTTACAACACAATGAATCTCATGAGGCCCCTCTCAGACCAGCCTTGCCCTGTGAGTTAGCAGAAAACCTCAGTGCTTGTAGGGGAGTGTCTTACAGGCCTCCTTTCATTGAGGTAACTGGCCATTTACATTCTGTGAATTTACACAATTGTGAAATCAGAACTACAGGTCTATATTTTCCTATAATACTTTCTAAAAATTAATATCATTCCCGACTTTCTCAGATAGAAGTACTAAGAAAATTTTAAGTAACATGTTGCACGACATTGTTTGTAATTCAGCTCTTTCATCTTCAAGATCTTTTAGCAATATTTAGCAGGTGGACAGCTTCTGATGCTGATAATTTGTTAGTACTATTGTAAATTTTTTTCATGTTTTTTTTTCTTTTCACATTGATCCCATTTCATTGTTCTTCCCTTCCCCCCATACAGTCATCTTTTCACAACCACAAACTTCCACTCCAAACATGACTGCTACTGAATCTCTCATGTGGATTGGCATCCTGTTCTCTCCCTCTCTACCAAGCCCTTATATTTCACCCATGCTTACAACACTTTTGGTTCCTTCTGCTATCTTCCCTATTGCTCCTCTCTCGATTGTTTCAGAGGTCATATTCTCTTAAATCCCAGCTTTCTGCTTTTCCTCCTTAAGACTACAGCATTCCACAGAAAATACAGAGAAGAGGGCTTGTTCCAGCTTCCCAGCAATGCTGGCTGGATGTCTTCCAATGCTCTTCCAGCCAGCACTAGAGACTTTAACTGGTATGAAAAATGCTTTTTCCTTCAGCAAATGCAAATCCTAGAGCAGTCTCCACTGTTCCTCCCTGCACTTAAAACTCAGCCTCTTCCATCTCTTGCAAGCTTCCTAGGGCTCCACGTTAACTGCTATTGCCTCAAAGCAGACAGAGGTGACACTATGAACAGCTTAATGAAAAGGCTACTCAATGCACAGAAATCACCAAAAATTGCAGCCAAAATGTAGTGGGGCATAAAGGAATGCAAAATAATACTGGCAGTCTCATGCTGCTGTACAATAAACCACAGGTACCTTCTTACCAAGGGAACTGCATTCTGGTCTGATTATTTATCTCAGAAAAGAATAGAGAAAAAAATATGTAGACAAATTCAGAAATAAACAGCAGAAAGAGAGCTTTGAAATGTCTCAATTCGGAGACAAACTGAAGAGCTTGGGACATTTGAGAAAGAAAATTCATAACAAGTGATACATTAAAAATATTCATTAGCTCTATATTAAGAAATACCAAAACCAAATTTTTAAAAATAAGTAAATCAGGCATTCTTACATTTCTTGACCTATAAGACAAAGCCACAGCAGACTAAATTGAAGGCCTTGATTTAAGCCTAAAGAAAGTAAATATTTCCTCAAAGCTGTAAGTAGCCAACCAAAAGTCATTGCTATTGCTTCTAACTTGAAGTCATGAGTATTACTAGCAGAGTTACAATGCAAATATGAAAAATGAGAATATCTGCATCTATGCCAATTTTAAAAAATTCAGATAAAGGATATAGATTTGTGTGTTTGCAGGCTTGGATGAAGCCTGAATTAGAAGACTAGAAAACGTATTTGCTGACAATGTTCTTACTAAAGTAGTTAATTATCCCATAAGTCCATGCTACAGGCTTTAATTTGCTTTGTTTTCAGTCTATTTACTATTTAGAACAAAGTGTTGGCTGTAGCAGAGACATGGTAAGGGATTGTTACAGTGATCTCAGTGGGGTTTCTCTGTCCCCAGGACAGCTTTCTGACCTGCATGGAAAAGCCATTCCACTACTGTGTCCAGAACACAAGAAAGAGGATGAAAGAATTTAATTAATTAGGAACAATAAGAGAGCTTTCATTAAAAGTCATGAGGCAAAAGCCGTCCCCAGCCCCAGGAGACAGATTTGACATGCTCTGGAGCAGACTGCTGTGAGTCAGCTGGCAGGAGAAACCCACACACACTGTGCAGCCACATCCTGTGCCTGGGGTGCTGCCTCGTGTCCCATTGCAGACCTGCAGAACCTGACTCCATCCCATGCTGCAAATTCAAACCTCCTCTGCCTGCAGCCTGTGGAATGCACACCCCCTCTTCTCTAATGTGCATAGGAGACCATTCTCAGGTTGCTTTACATATTACTGTTGTTCAGTGCAGCCCTATTAAACACTTGCAGGTTCAGGCCCAAGGCATTTTAAATTTCCTGCACAAAGCACATATTTCAACATCAACAAAACCTTCACTTTAGGTTTTGAAATGCTGATGGGGCTAACATACTGATCATTTGCCTGCCAGGTTATTTTCTTACTTACCATATGCTGGCTGTGAAGTTTTTCCAGAAGGGTGTTGTCTGTGCCTTTGGGGAATCGACTCTCTTCATTCACCAAAGCCAGTAGACCTAGTTTCTACAGCCAAACAAGAGACAGGCTTTTACAGTCAGCAAAAGATTTAACTACACAGCACCAAGCCAAGAACTGGAGATCTGAACGGACCACTGAGCAATAACCCTTGAGTTATACCCAGCAAAACTCAAACTAAAAGCAGAAGTCTGGACAGTTAATGCATTCAGCAAGCAGAACATAAGTGGAGATTATTTATAAAAAACTCACATTAAGGTTTTACTTGAATGCTAATCCCTGTCTAAAACTATGACACCCTTCCTAAGCTTACTCTCAACAATAAGACAAGATCTTCTTTCTTGAGCCAGGACTATGAGTAGAACAGCTCATACTTTTTCCAGATCACTATGGGAAGAGAATCTTAGCAACTATCTGCTTTTAAAACCAGGAAATGCCAGGGAAGTTCTCAAGACAATCAGCAGTCCCCACTGATCCCCACAAACTGCCACAGGTAACTGCTCACCTTCTCAATAAGGTCCAGGCACTCTGCATTATCCATCCAGTCAATGGCTTCCCAGTTTATCCCTTCCCTGATAGTCAAGAACAAACAGAACAAAGTTGTGAAATGCGATATCCAATGTCCTGGAGTGTAGGAAAGCAGAAGTAACTGAGCCTGGCAGCTGTCCCAGGACTCAAGGTGATTTGCAGGAGTTAGGCTTTGCCATGGTTAAGGAAAAAGAACAGGGGACAGCTATTGCACTGCTAACAGGAGATGGAAATAAGAGACAGCCTTTTGTATCCATACCAGTGACTTGACTGATGCTTTTCTTATAGTCATTGAGCAAATTTCACATGAATTTTAAGACTGTGCTCTTTCTGGAGTGATGAGCATCAGCCCACACAGTGGTGATGATGGACAGTTTGCTACACAGCTTCAAGAGTCAGCTGCTGACCCATCAATCTGGAAAGCAGGCCTGAAGTACATCTGCCAGAAAACTGAATCACAATTCACAGGTCCACCAGGAAAAGAGACTGGAGAGAGTTTTCAGGAAGAGTTTTGAAGAGGATGACACAGATAAGCTTTGGCCTGACATGCAGGGAGCTTACAGGGTGGCCCTGCATATTTCAAAATAGGAACTGATGTAGGTACAGTAGTGTAATAATGTGCTTTGAAAATCACCCATGACATTCTGTAAATCTGCTGAAAGTGTTTTCCCCCTTACCATCTTCTTATACTCCCATAACACAGGATATGTCTGTTTCCAGAATTCAGAGAAGCCTAGAGTAACTCTTAAGAATACAAGGAAGACTAGAGGTTATGTGTGAAGCAACTTACTGACATTCTGATATAGACACCTTTCAGGTGGAGACTAACATTTTGAAGATAGTGAAGCTGTTGCCTCCGAATGCTTCAGCCCAGGCTTCATACTTTAAGGTTCAAAGCATCAAGATGAGATACATGAATCTATTTACTAAGCCTGAGGAAGCAGAGCTTATATGGTGAAAGATGAGCTTTAGGTACACTACCTTGGAATAATTTGATATGTAGTCAACAAAAAATCCTCTCACTCCTTCCAAAGTTCAGCCACACAACTTAAACTTCTATGCAATCATCAGGAAAGAATCATTTGTCATGATGGTACCATTTTTAATAAGATTCCTGCAGTGGTGGAACAGGCCTGGGAAGTGAGCGCATAAATAGCCTTGCAGTTTTGTAATCTTTAGAATTTAATGAATTGCCTATTCAACTGTCTCCCTTTACAAGGCTGCTCTCATTTGCCCTCACTGACTCCTTTCAATTCCTTCATTCACAATCATAAAGACTTCTGTTTCAGAGCAACAACTCAAGTATTTGTCTAGCAGCCTTCTCTAGAAGCAGAAATACTCTAGAACATCACAGGTACTTCACAAAATACAATCTAATATGAAGCCCACAGAAGAGGAAAAAGCTGTGCAGAAAGCCTCAAGCTCAAGAAACAGCCTGATCTAAATCTTGCTGAGGATAAGAGTCCTTTTCACAGTACAGGAAACTCTAGGACAGAAAGAGCTGTCACATATCTCTAATTGTCTATCTTTAGGGAATTTGCTTTTTGCACACCAAGATTCCATCTGCATTACACTGCCACTGCCATAGGTAAATCATTACCAAAGTCAGTAATACACCCAGTGACCATGTGCTCTAATGGGTTAAAGCCTAGGAACCTTCCATTCAGCTGAGAGACAGAAGGAAATCTGGAGTTTCTAAACACTCCAATGGAGAATGCTTTTTCCTGGAGACAAGTGACTTATGCTGGCAAAGCATATGGACAATGCTTAACAAGACACAACCACAGTCAGGGCTGTACTAAGGCCCAGCTGTCTCTCCTGCTTCAGTGGTAGGGACTGAGCAGCACAGGAGGAATTATGTCCTTCCTCCTACTACTCATGAAAGCAGTGGGGCCCCACTCCCACTGTTTGTCACCTGTTGTACTCCAGCTGCTCCAAGGAGAAGATGTGTTTGTTGAAATATTCCTGGAGTTTCTCATTTGCATAGTTAATGTTAAACTGCTCAAAACGATTCACCTGCAAGAAGAAACAACTATAAAATTTTACATTCTTGTTCCTGAGCTCTAAGAGAATATATACAAGCAACAGGGAAGGTGCCAGGCCTGGAGTAAAGCCAGAGAACATAGTGGTGTCAGGTGGATATGGGGAGGACATTATGGAGAGGTCTAGTAGAACAGCTTTTGTAGCCCATGCAAGCATAATTCAGTAAACCTAATTAATAGTAAAGCATGCCAAAGGCAATTATGTTTCTCTTACTGGAAGAAAGAAATAAATTTCCTAACTGTTAGGTCACCAGGCTTTCTCTTCTGTGAAATATCTGAGCAGTCACTCTATGACTGTTAAACATACATCCCACATCAGCTGTAGTTAGAAGCATTACATGCAGGATTCTCTACACAATGCAAAGCAGATGTAAACAAACAATCTACATGTAGGATTTGGATATTTGGTTCCTACAAATCAAAAATTCAGTATTATCAGTATTATATTATATTATCAGTATTGTATCACAAATCAGACCTTGAAAATCAGCCTATATGAATATGGCTGGCAGAAATGGGCAGCTAAATATATCTTTCTGCTTTCAGGGGAAAGTGGCAGGGTAGAGATTCCAGAATGCTCTGTTATCCTTATCAGGATGCAAACCCACCAAACTTTCTTCCAGTATGCATCAACATCTCCAAAGCCAACCCACCCCACAAAAAACAAAATCCTGACCTGAAAGTTCTCGAAGCCAAAGATATCCAGGATGCCCACAGACTTAAAGTTTTCCTTGCCTTTGATCTTTGTATTAATCTTGCTAATGAGCCATGAAAAACACTGGGAATAGAGTGCCATAGAGAGAGAGTCCCTGGAGTCAGCTGCCTGTAAATACAAAGAGAAAAAATGAGTCACAAAGAGATTAGAAAGCGTAAGGGCCACACGAGTCTCTATGGGACTTCAGGTTCCTCCACTCCTCTTCAGGTTTCTCAGCCTCTGTACTGGCTGTGTAGGATACAGTATTTATTTGTAACAAGTTTTGAAATAGCCAGGCCACACACAGACAAGCCCAAATTTTTGGGTAACTGCAGTTCAGAGGGTGAAGGAAGTAATAAAATCATTTTTTGGAACAAATGCCGGTACAGGGAAGGTGGCAAAATACCTCACAACAATCCCAGGGCAGTAATTTGTATAATCTGAGCCAACATTTGCAGTGACAGGCAAGATATCTTGGTTCAGTACTCCTAGTAGAGCTGTCAAGTGAGTGTCTGCTCAGTTTTCAAAAACTGGTAGGGCAGGATTTAATAGACTGCTCTGTCACCAAGTTACCCTCAAAAATTCCCTTTCCAAAACATTCCCGCAAACAGCATTATCCTACTGGAATCCAGTTAGGCTGGCCAACAGCCAGAATACATGCCCCAGAAGTTCATGGCTTGAAACTTTCCGGCAGTTGACTCAACATCCCATATCATAACCAAGTGTCATACGTGGAAAAAATAATTTAAATTGTGATCACTAACAGGCAGTAGATAATTGGGTGTGTGTAAGTGCATGGATGAACATCCAAAATCAAACTTTTGATATCTCAAGCAAAAGCCTGCTACCTGATAGCTGCACAAGGAATGGACTGGTTGCATATTTTGATAACGCTTGGACAAACAAAAGCAGCACGCCTTAAATCCTCCAATTAATAAAGAGACATGAGACAGAACCACAGATTAGGAGTCTGATCATGTACTGTCCTTCTGCATGTACACTATTTAGAATGGGAAACCAGAGTTTAGGTTTCTGAAAGAAGAAAAGGCCAAAAATAAGGGTCCCTAACAAGAAGACATGATCTCAGAAGACAGCAAAAGGACCTAGGAGAGAAGATGGCAAAGATCATGACTGGAAGAAAGATGCTGGAAGCGAGGAAAGATCCTGGAAATTGGAGACATGGAGATAAATGTCAGGGCAGGAAAAGGAACTTGGATGGTAGTACCTGACTGAGACTGATAACTGCAACTGCACAGTATAAACCAGAAAAGTTTTTGCCCAACCCTCCTGGACAAGCTCCACTTGTCTAAACTCCCAACTGGGAAAAGAAGTTGATACCTACAAAATGTAATGCTGAGGGGTGAGCGAGCCAGTACATTAAGTAATCAAGTAGGGCGAAAGCTGTAATCTTGTCATTTCATAAATAAACCACAGTAAATAGATTACAGATTGTTTCCCCTGTCTCATCTGTGACACCAGCAGGGCAATTCCTTCAGTAGCCCAGACCAGCAATGATAGATCTTCTAAATGCGCCCTTGCCCCCTTCAGTTTTACAACCCTAAATAATGTGAGCTCTTTGCTAATGGCACAGGCCAACTGTTTCTGATCCTTTCCAGTGTCTAACAAACTTCTGAGGCCCAGCCTGCCAGATCCTCCTCTTCACCCAACCACACTGGTCTTCTCCTCCTTTCTCTCCCTAGGTACTATTTCCTCTTCAGCAGCTCAAAGTCAACACAGAATAACCTCCCTTCTCCACAGAAGAGAACATTTCAAAGCATGGGCACACATGCCTTTTCTGGATATTTCTTCTACCCATCAGATGATCTGCCTTATTGGTTGGGACTAAGAATGCCCTCAAGGCCATGCCTCCGTAGTGCATCTGGCTACACAGTAAGTTGGACACATTTTCCAGGAACAGGACCTCCTCATCCAGCTGTAAGCAAAGCCACTTTCCCCACAATATGGCTCAAATGAGATTCTCAAAGGCGCCTTTCATCCTCCCAGCTTTGCCTGCCTTTAGGCCAGTTCATCCATTCAGCCCACTGAAATGTCAAAGCTCAGATGGGTAATGAACCCATTACATAATGAGAAATCCCCAGCAATTCTGTCCCCACCTCAAGCGGGAATGGGTGGGTGCAGCACTTGGGCTTAGGCAGGAACAGTCTTTACAGGCCAGTGTTGAGTGCAAGCTCACCTAGTGAAGACAGCTAAATGGCAGCATCCACTTGCTATCACAATTTTCTTGTGCTCTTGGTACTTCATTGGGCTGGAAGCAGTAAGTGTGGGGTCCAATTCACACACATGTCAGGAATAGCTATACCATCAGGGAAGGCTCTGTTCAGGGAGACTGAAAGTCCTACAGCTGCATACCATTGTTGTGGACTGCATGAAGTGCCTCTGGAATTATCTGTTATCCAGCCTTCCACACTGCTAGAGAAAGCCGCAGCTTATTTAGAACAGACAGCTGAGAGGAAAACTGTGGTGTTGGATACTGAGGATATCTACTACAGACTACAGGCTGAAAAATAATTTTCACACAATTTCACTGCAAAGAAAGGTCACAGACTATGCAAACAATGGAGACCATTTCTTAAAGGCAAAGTTTAGTTTGTGACATATTAGCAGGTGTGTCCACAGCAAGAAAATAAGCAACTACTCTACTGTAATGAGCACTGCTGAGATTTCAGCTTGAACACAGTGCCCAGTTAGGAGCACTCCACTTCTTAAAAGATGTGGGAAAACAGAGACAGAAGACAAAGAGATTTTGAAAATTACTTACAAGGAAGCACTGAAGGAACTGGATTGTTTAGCTTAGAAAAGAGGATACCACATGAAAAACTTCACAGAAGCCAAAGCTTGTAAGGTGGACAGCTGGGATGTCAAAGGTAATCTAAATATGAGGAAAATCTTTTCAACTCCATACTCCACTGCAGCTAAAGCAGGATACTTAAAGATGCTGTGAAATTCCTTCCATGGGAAATCTGAAGGAAAGTTAGGCAGACATCCATCAGAGAGAGTCTAGTAACTCTGGCTTCTCTGCCAATGTAGGCGTTGCATTGATAACCCTCTGCAGTCTGTGCCAGCACATGATTTCCATTACAGATGTTCATTTTGCTATAACATGATGCCTTTTCCATCCTAGTAATAATACTCCTTGTCTTCCAGTGTCTTGCATTTTATTAATGACAGAGGATTTTCTACAGTTATCTGTGCATGGACCTAAAACACCAAGAGTGCCCTCAAGTGATCAGCAACACCACAAGAGCTACATATCAGTTTATTCAGTCCTCCTTTGTGGTTGTATGGATCCAGAAAGAAGCTGCTGTGGGCTAACAGCCTAACATCTGCCAGATGTTTTGTGGGAACTGTGTGCCAGCTTTTACTTCCCACTAAACACAGCATAACCTGGGAGTTCTGCAGGTTAAAGCATGCACACGTGCAATTACCACAAAGCATCTGATGCACCCTCTCCATGACACAAGTATGACCAGTTCCTGGTGAGTGAAGATAACTTAAAACCAGTATTGTGCACTGGCATTTGCAAGTGAACTCCCCTGTAAAGCCTGAAAAGCAGAGTCAACACTGGGACCTGAGCTACCAATAAGGGCAAAATACCTTAGTAAACAGAAGGCTCTAGGCTGGAATGAGTGACAAAGGAGGAAGACTCAGGGCCTGGAAATGCAGAAGTGGCAAAGTGCAAGCATACACTAGGACACTTACCTGCTCCACAGTGAGAGGGGAGCTGATCTCTTCCCCACGCAGAATCATGGACCTCTGTGTCAGTACTTCAGAAAGCTGAAAGGCATCTAAGCCCAGGAGGTCACTGGCAACATTCAGCACTAAAAGGAAGACACACTTTTTTATCCTGCATGAATCCCCATCACTCATAGGGATATTTTTGCAGCTTGGTGAGAAAATCCCAGGGACTTCTACAAAGCAAGTGACTAAATACCAGCACAAAACACACTCCTCCTTACTTCATTCTCTTGGGCATACCCAAAGCTGTAGGTTCACATACCCAGTGTGAGGTTCACACACCCATTATGGACACAGTCAGATACTCATGTAAGTCAGCCTTCCTGCTGAAGGACAGGAAGAGCAAAACCCTGCGCAAAACTCAGCACCAGCAAAACACTGCATGAGAAGATAAGTTTTTGCAAAAGCACAATACTGCAGTCTGAGCATGGGATTGCTAAACTTGGATGTTAAGAAGAGAGGCAATTAACTTAAGACCTGATGCACTTGTAATACATATTTATTGCTTCTGTTTTGGGACTCACTTTGCAGACCAGCTCAGATTAGATCACTGTAACAGAGTGCACACTAGCAACTGCTTCAAATGAAGATGGGGGAAAATCTCTAACAGATCACTTTTGTCTCAAACTCCTTCCTGATTCTATTTCTTCCATTTCTTTCAATGCAAAAGAGAAACTGTGAGGCTGTGGACTCTGAGAATATCCAGGAGCACAAACGGATCACTGGGCCACACACCAACTAAATCCCACTGGTACCTTGGAGCCATGCATTCTGTGGCAATGCTTTTGTATGGTTAAACTACAGGGAACCTGCTGGTGAAGGTACTACAGACCAGCATAATGGAGAGAGAAAGGAAAAGGGAGAGGGCTTTACTAGGGGCCTCATGGGGCTTTGCATGGTCTACCAAATTTCTAGGGTCCTACTTACCCGCTTTTGTTGTAATCTGGGCCCCACCGGCTGTCATGAATTCAACATTTCCCAAATGAAGTGTGCCAGAAAGAAGTTTGAAGATGTCTCTGATTTCTTCAGTGCTGAAGTCCACCACCTTCATGGCAGTCTATGCAAAACCAAGCAGCTAATGTTAGCTGTATGTACATCCAAGGTCCAGTGTGTGTAAGATGTAAAACTCAGAATTATAGTCACCATGAATACAAATGAAACGGGATGGCACAACACCTATCTGAGCTATACTTCTGTCAATGATCTTTACTGTTTCCATTCTCTCCTACATTTGCTGTATTGCCACCCGAGGCAGGTGGGCATTTGCCCATCCTCAGGATGGATTTTGCTGCCACCATTGACAGTCTGTCACAGGAAGAACATGTTTGTGCCTGTGTGAGGAAATCCTACCCTGAACACTGGCAGCACAGGTTGCAGATGTTACTGGACGGCTTCCACATTCTCGCATATTTTCTTTCCTGAAGATGGATCCATATAAGATACTTAATTTACTCTGATCCACATAACCCCCTTAATTCATTCTTAGTATAGAAGATTTATGCAGCAAGATTTAAAACCAGGCTTTCAGTATTAACTGCTAGATGGTTGGAAAGAGATTATCAGATAATAAGGAAATGTGGCACATTCCCTCTTAGTGCCTGCATGTGGGCCAGGGCTCTTGGGGCATAAATTGACATTGAGAGGTAGGACCTAGTCTTCATGCATTCCCCTGTCAGTGAGGCACTCTGGGGCTCTAGTTCCCTTCTTTCCTCCAGTATCTCTTCAGCTGAAGAATAAATGCCATATTGCCATTGAAACTTCTGCTGTACAGGTGTTTCCTTCCCCTAAGTCACACCTAACTAGAAGCTACTGAAATCGTAAGCTGACTCTACTCATCCTGCCTATCTGGTTTCACCTACATTATTAAAGCTTTCAGGCCAACAAGCATTTATGAAATAAAACACGAATTTGCACATTCATCCTGCTAATCCCTTAACCTTGGATAAACAGGTGTCCATTGAATCTCTGCTGTATTTCAGAATAGGTGATTTGCACAGGTGATATAACTTTACTGGAATATTTCTGTAGAAGAGTACCTTCAGACCAAACTGTTCCCCTTCTAATGGTCAATGTGAGTTTTCCTGAATCAGGCTATCTAGGAGGCTCCCACAAATCATTATGGGGTGGGGTTCTGCTCCCCCAAATTCTCTATAATTCTAAATTATTATTCATACTGTTTCCCAATTTCCCCCATTTCTGTACACTAAAGCCACTTTTGGAGTCTTGTTTTAGTTGAGTTTTGGACTTGTTGAACACCAAATTTTGGCTTAAGGCAAATCAATTCTGCTTGTGAGATCTAGACCATGCAGCAGCAGACCATATTTAGTCCACGGGACTGTGCCCAAAAGTTCAGGAGGAGTTAGTTAGTTCATGGACTCACCATGACCTTGCTGAACATCTCTACATCATTCAGGTTCTCATCAGTCACACAGCCAGACTGGTTCAAGTAGCGATAAGTCTCTGGCTCACAGAGGGAGAGGCTCTCTGCAACAGAAGAGGGAGAGACAACAATTTATTTAGCAACCAGTCTTTTAGTTCATAGAAGAGAAGGGTGTGCTGCAACAAAGCTTGCAGATGGTATGCAAAATTATTTAGAACAGTCAAATCCCAAGCTGCAGAGTCTCAGAAGAATATCTCGACACTGAAGTGACTCAAGAAAAAAAATTTAATTCTAGTTCCAAAAACATACAGAAAAATAGTCTTAACTATATACATATGGTAAAGACCTCTAAATTAGATATCATCACTTGACACAGAGTTCAGAAAGTCACAGTCAGATTTCTAAAGACATTCAGTGCTAAGCAACAGTTAAAAACTGAACATAGCTCACAAAACTAAATGTAAAACCAGAATTAGGTCTCTGTATATCTGCTATGCAACCACATTGTAAACACAATCTGCAGATTTGACCCCCCATTTTGAAAAGAACATAGGAGAACTAAAAGATCAATGGAGAAAGGAGGCAAGGATGATCAAGAGCCAAAACCACATTACAGATGGAGAGGTGAAGCAGCCTGGGACATCAGCTCAGAGAAGTAGATGGGGAGGAATAGCAGAGACCTGCTGAAGAAAAGAATCTGTTTTGTATGTTTTCCCTATGCAATTCATAATAACCATGATCCCCACTGTTTTCCTTTGCTTTAGATTGATCTCTGAATCGACCTAAGCAGCCATTCCTGCACCTATCCCCTAAAACAGAAATGCTACTCCCTTCTATTCTGTCAGGCCCATATCTTCCATCTGATTATCCTAACATACAGAGAACAAAAGCATAAAGAAAATCCCTAGGCCCTCAAACCACAGTACAAGTGTAACATGATCCTGCCTGCCTATCTAACTTCTTCAGAAACACCATCATTGCTCAGCATTGCCTGGGACAGATACACACAAATGTCGTTAGGGGGATGCTGCACTACAAAGAGGATTCGTCCACAGGCTACAGCTGCCACTTTCTCTGTGTGCACTTTCCCAGACCCAAGTCTCCTTTCCCCAAGTACAGAACCCTTTTTTCAGCCAGAAGACATATTCTGGCTCTAGTACTTCCACTACGTCTCTGGTCTTTGTAATTCTTCTCTGTACTATTACCTAGACCGAAGGTTTGTTCTAAAAATATATCTATCAGTTCATCCTTTGAACTCCTTGAACAGCTCCCACCAGCAATTGAATCAAGACTCTATCCTTTCTCTGCCTCTGGCCAGTTCCATTACCTCATCACTTTGCACATACTTCTTCCTTCAGCACAGAATGCCTGAAGACTTTTCTCATAAGGAATTTCTGTCATCCTCAGCCTCTTTCTCATAACTCTCCTTTCTGTTCACCTCAAAATCACCATGTGGCTGGCCTTCAAGAAGAAGCTACATATCAAGTATCTGAAATAACCATGCTCTAACTGACTTACACCTGCTTCACATGTTGGACTAGAAACAGGACAAGAGACATATCCCATAAAATGAAATTACCTTTCAGCTCCCCACTCACACCAGCTAGCAGAGCATAAAAGATGTGGTAATTCCGCTCCCCGGGGTTCTGATGTACCACCCTGTTCTGAAACAAAGAATAAAAGAGTAGCCAGCAGAAAAAGATCAGACTTGTGGTTGCAAAGGCAAAGAGAGGACCAGGATACAGATAAATCTCCAGTGCCAATGCAAAAGAGGGGCTTCTTGCTATTTAATGATGGTTTTGTCTAAATAAATTCTACATCAAGATCTTTGTAGCTGTGCAACTGAGCATACACATGAACAAACTGAACTTTGTCAGTTCTGGCCCTGCTCCTCAGTGAATTCCTGACTCCAAAGTAAACTATATCCAATCACAGATGCCTGCATTTGGAGTTGTACCCCATATTCTTTTCTGTGGAGCTGTGTTTCCAGGTACTTCTCTCTCCCTTTCTCCTCAGTAAACAGTTCTTTCTTGGAGTCTCTCTGTAATGCACAGACTTTAACAAAAATGGGAGAACAGGCTGTGATAGACACAGAACAAACACTGTTCCTCTGCCTCTTCCTCAGCTGGGACAGGTGCAGTAGTAACACCTGAGGAGCTGATGTCTACACCCTGCAGTGGAGACAGCCTCATCCAGGAGGTGACCTGGCACTGCCACACCTCCTATGAGGAGAGGGCTCACCCAGCACTCAGTACCTACCTTTTCCAGTAAATCTGAACAGCATGTTAAGGAAAAAACATCCAAGTGACAGAAGCACAGATTTCTTGATGATAGGCAAAAAATGTTCTAGACACATTGGGATGAACCCTGCAACAAGCAACAAAACATGAAATAACTGACACTTTGGAAAGTAGGTAAAGAGTGGTTTTAAACATCATCTTAGATCATCTTCTCTATTCACTGTCCAAGGAGGTATGATGTGCCAGAGATATTTAAAAGGGCAGGGTTAGGTAGAGCATAGATAACCTAACAAAAGATGAGCCACATTAGGGACACCTAGAAAGATTAGAAGCCACTCTTATCTGAAAGTCTGCATTGCACACAGCAAGTCTTGCATCAGTTCTCATTGCTCCTACAAGAGACCACTATCTTAAATCTATTACAGTACAAAGAGAAGAGGCCAAACAATCCAAGCCTCTCATTTACAACAGCAGTAAATTCATCTGGCTGCTACTCCAGTGGCAATTGGTGTGGTTTGCAGTCAGCAGCAGCTTTGAACATACATCAAAAAATGTAGCCAGGGTAGCTTTACCTGCCTCATGGAGACAAAAGATATGTCAAAACCTTTGGGAGAGGGGTACCTGGCCATACAGGGAAGAAAGTCATCATGGCACAACACAGTTTGATTATATCCAGTCTTCATTGTCCTTATTGTCACTGAAACAGGCTCCCCACAGAAGTGATCATGTCACCAAGCTCATCAGAGTACAAGGAACATCTGGAGAACACTCATAAGTCATATGATTTCATTTTAGGTAGTCTTGAGAGGACCAGGGAGTTGGACTTAATGATCCTTATGGGTCCTTCCCAACTTGAGATAGTCTGTCATTCTATGACTAGAGTTCCAAGGTCTATTGAGGATGGCAGCCCAAAACAGGGACTCATAATTCTCTTCTGCACCCAAGTATTGTGCAGAATATATGTATTCTTAGTTTGGTCTCACTTTTCTCAGTCATGCAGAGCTAAGATAAGTGAACAATTTTATGTGGAGCAAACAGGATGAAATCAACATGGAAGAATCTTCCAAGGTAGAAAATTCTAGGGTTTCAAGTACCAAGTGTTGAGATTAACAAAGTGAAAAGTCAAACTATGTCCCTACCTAATAGAATACTGAGACAAAAGGTTCCCAGAGTTAGGTGCTGCAGAGTCACAAAATGAACACTTCTTCTCTCTTTAAGGTGCAAATTTGCCCACAGTTGTAAATTGACTTTGAAAAACTTTGATGAGAGATTTCCTGGCCTACACTGAGCTCCTCCTCATCTTTGCTCACTCAATCAATTTCTGGTCCAGTGCAGAAAAGGATACAATCAGTCACTCGGCCTCCCTGGATGTGTCCATGTCGAGAGAAGTGCAGCTGGATGAACTTGCCAAAGCGGCTGGAGTTGTTGTTATAAACTGTCTTGGCATTTCCAAAGGCCTCCAGAATGGGGCTGTAGAAACAAGGCAATGAAGATACGATTAATGATGGGATACAATTAAAACAAAGCATGTGCCCAGTCTTTTGACATTTGCACACTGTGTTCTGCCATTAGAGATTTATTTGTTAGAGCACCAGCCTGGACAAGCAGGAAGAGCTCAAGGGGAAGGAAGGATGGCAAGAGCAATTTAACACGCTGCTAGATAAATTTTTAACCTTTGGGATTGCAGTTAATTAAATCAGTCCCCAGTCTGCATGGGCAGCTGGTGCTCACACTGTCAAGGGCATTCCTAACCAGTGTGGCTTCAGGAAATGAAAGGTGGCAAGACCCAGCCAGGTTGTGTCCCCAACACAGCACATCCCATGAATGCAACTGTATTTTTTCAAGGATTTTCAGAAGCATCAGACATATATGACAAACACTCTGTAGCTTCAAACCACATATTTCTATATTCATTCTACCCTTTTTCCTTCTGCCTTTGATAAACCATCTCTTAAAATTACACGCAAACATCTACAAACTAACAGTAATAAAACAATTTGTTTGGTACTTAAATTTGATACTGGAACACACAAGCCCTCATTACCTAAATCTTGCTTAGGCTGGTATAAGCCACATGGTTTCCAAGTAAAGAGACTATACACACCGTATAAATTTGAAAATTACATTCTAAGAGAGTGACATCTTCCACTTCAGGTCAAAAAAAAGGCGCAAAAAAAATCTATCTCCAAATGTCAGAGCAGCCATAAATTGAAGAATTTTGCCTGCTGGTCACCTTCCCATCTTCAGAGGAAAAAAAAGTTAAAATGCTTGGTACATGCTTCACAGAACAGTACACAGGAAAAGCCTAAACCACTTAAACTGACACACTGAATCCAGGATTTAAATATTCATTTCTCGATTAAGCCAATTCTAAAATAATCTGAAGGGCTGACAAGCAAGGAATCACAGAGATGCTACAAGAACAGCCTCTATGTTTTCATATCTAACTTTAAAACATACATAGTTTTAAACAAAAATTATTGCTGTTATTACCCTGAGAAATATTGGCTTTTATCTCCACAGATCTACTGTGCAGTCTCACTGGACACTGGGGCAGATATGGGATTATTCACAAGTTAGAAAATAACCAGATAGAAAATAACCAGAACTAGAGACACCCTGGAGCTTGCAGAAAGGTTCAGCGAGTGTTAGCTAAGGGAGAGTTGTGGTTAAGGAAACAACAACCTTCAGGAAAATCCAGGCAGTATTTTCGTAACACCTCTTGAAACAATTGCTTTCAAGTAACAAGGATATAAATGAAAATTCCTCTGTTAGAAGACACTACAACCATAGAAATGCCAGAGAAATCTGGGTGCACAGATCAGGAAAGTTCCTTGCCCTGGAGAATTTGAACTCCAACACTTAAACCTCTGAAACAAGTACATAAATAAGGACATTGCACAGAAATATCCCGCTGAGCACACCACTGCCAAGAATCAACAAAATTAATGGGGACAGCCAAAGAAGGGAGGACAGGGTTATGTTATATGACCACCACAGATGCAGTGAGGGTGCAGGAGCCAGCTAGCCAATCTTTGTGGCTCTAAATAATGTTAAATTATATTTAAAAAGCACAAAGTAATATCTTTATAGTTAAGTTTGGCAATGGGCTCACACATATGAGTGCGAAGTCTTTCAGGCTTAGGGGGGAAATAAGCAGGAGGGTGTCAGAGCAGCTGCAAGGCAGAGGATGGGGTGGTGAGCTGGTTCAGCCAGGCAAGGGGGCAGGGGCCTGGGCCAAGCCAATGGCCAGCAGCACATCCCAGCTGGCACCTGGGGCAGGAGCAGCACATCAGGAAAGTCGTGCTGGCTGCTCGCTGGATGTGGGCAGGATGCACTCCACCATCCAAAATAATGGGAACCAGTAGCAGCACTGCACCAGATGAAGCTTCAGATGCACAGCTGAAGACAAAAGGATTTGAATACTTATGGGGGATGAATAGTAGGAAAGGTAGCTATGCTGTCAGCAGTGGCACCTAACATGGAGAAGAGAGCTTCAGAGTGAAGCAAGCAAGAAAAAGAGCTGAAAGTTAGCAGAATTTTTAATGAACTGATGAATATTTTCAAGAAGGAAAAGAGACAAAATGAACGGTGCCAAAGGAGTTTTGAGAGCCTGATTTGTGAGAAATACACCAAGCACAAATGTTCCAACACAAGCAAATGATAGAAAGCTGATGAACACTTTGTTTGCAATGCTGTCTGAAACTGAGAAAGAATCCAGCATTGTTCCTTGGTATGTGCTGAGAAAGGATGAAAATCCACCATAAATGAACCTGAGAAGGCCACTGTCAGAGCAAGTGCAGCTGAACTCCAAACATATGAGATAGGGTCCATAGGAGTGGCAGCAGCTTCTGGGTCTGGGCCAGGCCTTCAGCTTCTTGTCTTCAGAGAAGAGGTGACAAATCAGATTCTCTTGCACTCATATTGCAATAGATCATGTAGCACTAGAGATGTACATGGAATAGGTTGTGATCTCTTACTTCAGTCCAGCTCACAGCTGTGGCATCTTGCAGGCTCAGGAATCACCCACAGACCATCATAAGCTCTCTGGATCACTGTCAAGTTATCACTTAACTGCTGAGAGTGCTTGAGCCTTCTAAGCCGCTTGCCTTAAAGCAGATTTTGCAGATCTTGAGTCATGACTGTACTGCTCTTCAGAGCTTTTTCCAATTTGTCTCCATGCCTGCTAAGATCTGCACACCTGCAAAGAATAAATCATCCAACAACAGCCTCTGGAACGCCAGGTCCAAGGGCAGCAGCCCTTCAGCTCAAGGCTGCTCTGCTTATAAGGACCTAAAACCCACAATGCTCTCCCAGCTGCCTCCTCTGGAGGTTTCTGCAACTATCACAGGCTCCATCTGGGACTAATCTGCAGCCTCAGCCTTGACAGTACCAAACTGCAGAACCCCCAGCAAGGTTCGTCAGTCACAGGCAAGACAGTCTTGTGCTGGGAAATTTTAATCTAATTTATTAAATATCATTCAGGTATTAAGGAAAACAAGGACAAAACCAATAATACGGATGTGTATTTCCTGCCTCTTCCCCAGGCTTACCTAATGTCAAATACCTACTGATCTCCATTTCTTAGCCTCAGCTTTCTTTTTTACCTCAGGTTACACCCACTCCCTCAAAACTCCCTCAACACGACAGCACAAGAGCCTTTGGTCACATTCAGGACTGCTTCTCTCTGTCACTCTTTGCTTCCTCATTTTCTCTGCTGTTTTTTGCCTCTTACTGGTTTTCGTCAGCCACACTTTGCTTCTTCAGGTTTTCTGGATACTTTTTCCCTTATCTCTCTATTCCAGCATAGGTCACCTATGGGCCATGGTCACTCATGGGTTTCCCTGCCCTGGCAAGGGTTATGGTCCCTCAGGGGTGTCAGGACCTCTTCTGGCATGAAGTATTTTCCCTGGAGTATGTTCCCATTCCATCATGCTGCAGCTTCTCTCTCAAACACATTTGATTCAGGCCTCGTCAGGGTTTAGGTGGGTGGTGATTGTTCCTTAGTGCCAGCTCCCATGGATGGCTCTCCATGAAATCACTTGCCAGGACAGCAGGAAAGCTGCCAGGTGGCCCATGGGACTCCTGAGGGCAAGACATACCAGCAGCCTGAGACACAGGGAGGCTGGGGGAGAACAGGGGCTCAGGGAGGAAACCAGGAATAGGACAGAGACTCACTGAGAGGAGAGCTATAGTCGAGAGTTAGAGCATTAATTCTCCAGCTGCCATGCACATCCTACATTGCTGTTGGGAAAAAGCCTAATCCATCCATGGACAGCTGGGAGAACAGCCAGAGTGAGGCATCCTGGCAGGACCACAACCTTCACATTTCCCTGATGTGATACCATCCAGCTCTGGGATCCTCTCTACCCAGGTCTGGCTCCATCCATGGTCTGGCTGCCCAGAAGGCAGGGCGCCCCAAAGGCAGGCTCTCCAGGTGCCCATCAGGGTGACTGTACCTGCTTTCCAGGATGGCTTCTTCCACATGAGTGCTCTTCTCAGACACAGGCGCCCCCAGGGAGGTCTGGCTCATGGCTGACAGGAATTTCAGGAGCAACTTGGTGCTCTCAGTCTTTCCAGCTCCACTTTCTCCACTGTTAAGAAAAAACATACATTTCATTGACAAATCCAGGACAGACAGAGCTGATGACCATCCTACCCACGGCATAGAAGTGATCTCTAGGAATAAACATGTGACATCTCCGCTGTGACAAGCAGGGACCAGGCACAGGCAGGGAGGATGGTGTGGGGATTCAGGCAGATGTCAGTGCAAATGGAACAGCAGGAGCAAGGCGTGTGATGCAGCCATGGAGTAGCTGGTTCTCCATTTCTAACCTTATCAGAACACACTGGCTGTCATGACGCTTCCACAAGCAGCAGTAGCACTCGTTAGCAGTGGCGAAGATGTGGGGAGGCAGCTCACCCAGGCGGTGCTGTCTGTACAGCTCTATGGCATCCACACTGTACAGACCAGGGATGGGTTTGTAGGGGTTTACTGATGCCAAGATGGAACCAATGTTTGTCTACGGGGAAAAAACAAAACACAGAAAGGAAATGAAGCAAGCTCCTGGGGGAAAAAAAGAATCACAACAAAGCCAGATAATGAAATAAGTCAAGGTGAAGTAGAAAGCCTAAATAAGGACATTGGGCTTCAGCAGAAAGCTCCACAGTTTGGCAAAGAATGTCAAACTCCAGAGAAGGAGCTGTACAGCTGGGTATGGATGGAGGACTCTGAATTTTGCTGCTTTACCATACAACATTCTTATCCTGTTGTCTTTGTTAAATCAAGCTTACACAATTAAAAAAGCTATGAAGCCATCTTCATACCCAACTACTTTGCACTGTGCTTGAAGCTGAATAGCAGAGCCAGCACTGAAAGAGTGTCAGGAGATACCTTCAATGCCCCTATCCACAGTCCTAGGCAAAGGGGGCTTAGCAGGGTTCAAGAACCTCCTAAATACAACACAAACACACACACATTTTGCACACATGTGCAAAGAACCACTAAAGCATATAATTTTTCTTCTGGTGAAAAAATGCTGTTTGGCGCAGCTTAAATAATTTGGTAAACCAAATCAAAATTGACAGCCGAAGATGAAGCTCTGAATTTCAAATCAAAACATTTCTATGTTTCCTAAACATTTTATTTTGAAAATATTTATTTTGAAAATCTCACAATCCAAAAAAAAAAGAGGTAGCATGATTTAAAATAAAATATCCAGAGCACAATATTGAATTTCAAATGTATTATTTTGTGCAGTCAAAAGGAAATTAATTTTGCTTTTTGGGGCATGAGTTTTTCGGTTCAGCCAACCAGCTCAAATCCAGTTATTCTCAGAGCTGCAGTTCAGAGCAGTGGTGCCACCTCTCTCCTAATGAAGGCTTTGTAATATGGTCAACATCCATGCTGCTGGTGTGGTGGCCTTCCTCACAGGGACATCTTGGACTGCTCTACTCAAGGAATACCCACTCTCAGCAGACATGACCCAGTAAACACCCAGTAAAATGCTGCAGGAGGTGCCAAGCTTTGTGGTCAGGGACAACATTATTTCCAAGCCATGAACTAACTACAAGTCACCCAGCAGATATAAAAGCATTTGAATGTATCTGCTGGAGAAGCTGTAAATTAAACACTTGGTGACAAGGAAGACTCAGCAGGCCAAATGAAATCTGATGCTATAGCAATGCCAAGCTCTGAAGCCAGAAGTCAGAGTGATAAGATGCTGTAGTCAACAAAATATTTTAAATTAATTTATTAAAGCATCAGTCAAAGATCATTGGGGGAGGGAAAAAACAACTAGACAAAATTACATTATCAGTATAAACTGATATATCACGGATCAAGTCCTGAGGACCCTCTGACATGGACATTTATGAGCAGAAATATAATTCATTGGTAATGAAAGCAATAAGCAAGCAGATGATCTTTGGCCAGAGAGGAAGAGAGAGAGAGAAGAAAGCACTGAGTGAGAAAACATGAACTGGGGAAAAAGTATTGCACAAGCAGCTGAGGAACAGGCATTGTCCAGAGACTACAAGACAGAAACATCCATTCTAACTCTTCTCCCAGACCTTCACAGCATCTTTTCTTCTCAGATGTTTCAGTTTGCATTTTCCATTGTAGTTTCACTAGGAATAGAGCTCCTTTCCAGAGAACTTCTGGAAAGCCCTTTCCAGAACTTCTTCCAGTACAGCCATCTCTTTCAAAGGTGTTCCTAGGAGACTTTTCCACCACCCAATTGCAGTCTCCTCAGCAAATGCATTCCCTTACAGACAATTTCTATCCGTAATTTTTAATAGTAGTAAAACCATGTACATACCAGCTATTCTATCAGCAAAGTAATTGCCCCCAAAGAACTCTCCAGAGCAGGACAAGCCACATGTGGCAAGTCTTCTTCTCAGGACAATAGATCCTACTTGGATGGTTAGGCATGGCTTTGCTAAGGACAATACAAAACATGAAGTACAGCCCCTGGCTCATTTCTACATCACTCGCATTATGTTGGGTCTACTTTTATTAAGGAATACAGGAATTGTAAGAATGAAGAAGGAAGATGCAGGCTAATATAACTTCCTTCAACAGCTGGGTAGAGCTTGAATAGTATTTATCTGGAAAACAAAAGGTACTGTTGAGCTTGTCAGTATTAATGTAGTAAATTAATTGTGGGTGCCAGACCAGTCTAGATTTACTGCTACCTACACTTCCTGTTCAGAAACAATCCCCTTTAGGAGCTCATGGTGGGGCTAATAATTCTACACTGAGGGGTTCCCAATGCTGAGCATGTTACAGAGGTCAGGCCCCTTCATACATCTCCAAAAATTTCAGACCCGAGGTGCACATCTGAGATTCATGCACTATGCAAAGGCAAAACAAGGTGTTAAACTTTAACACCTTTATGCACGGATAGAGAAGGCACAGAACTAATGCTGAATAAGAGAAGGAATGACACATCAGAGCTAGCTGAAAGGCTTAAGGAGATATGACTGCTATGGCACTGCTGGTGTTGTGGCATTTCTGGTACAAGGCACAGACTGAAAAGAAACCTGCATCACATTTTAAGGTGTGAGGAAGAAGAAACAGGAGGAATATACCCAAATGGGTCAAAAGCTGCACAGACACATAGCATGTGTCAAACACAGGACAAGAAGAGCAGCAAGGATAGGAGCCACCAAAATAGTGCATGCACATGGGTACTGTCACAGGGTCACAAGGCTATGTTGACAGACAAAGGTGTCTACAGCAAAAAGAAAGAAAAGAAGAGAATTTACAGTCTCCTCTGCATCCAGTGCAGGGGGTGGTTCAGAAACAGGGTCACTTTACTGATAATTTACTGGAATACAGGTGCATATGGTTTGGTTGCCTTGATAACAGTTGCTATGCAACAAGAGACATTTTTTCTGTCATATTCTGAAAACTCTGTGTGCACATAGCATGGACAAGCAAGGTAAGAGTAAAGCAAGGTAAGACAGTCTTTGTAATCTATCTTCCTTTTTCTCTCCAAGTCTCAGCTGAGCACTGCCACCCCAGCAGTTCAGGGATGTCTTGTCCCAAGTGTACTTTTCTCACAAGTCCCTTTCCTAACACTTGTCTCATTCCCGAGAGGGAAGTCAGGAGATGCTATGAGTATTCATCTGTGCAAGGAGAGCAGAGCAATAAAAAAATATAAAATAATTAAATTAAAAGACATAACTGCATGTAAAAGCAGAAGAGTTAGGCAACATGATTGTATTCCTAGTTTTGTTAGGCAGCATCTTGGTCTGTCTAGATCAGGGGGGATACTCAGCAACAACCTGTGTACACTGCACTTTCCAGTCTGCTTGGCCTTATAAAGCATGGAACAGCCGTAATGGGGAACCTGGGAAATGTGAATGACAGCTCATCAGACATGGATGTCCATGGAGGATACAGAGCTATGCAATTACCACAAAACTCAGAGGTGAACATTCATGTTTTGGGACTTCCTCCATAGAGGCAAAAAGGTCCCCCTGATAAAGGTAGGATCTCACAGGGATGATGGAGCTGGCAAGGAAGAAAAAGCCCCTCCAATTCCTATCCACAAGAGACAAGGATAACATCAGTACTTCACATGCAAAGTGGCAGCCCTGAAGCTAAACAAAAACTACAAAGCCAAAAGGGATGAGCACTCACATAGATGTTACCCTGTTGGTAGCGCTGGTGAAGGTTAAGCAGGATGGCAGCTTCATGCAGATCTCCCAGCATGGACATGTCTTCTACCCCATCAACGCTGGTCTGGTGCATGGGTAAGACCTTTTCTCTGGAAAGGGTGGCCTTGGGGTACTGGAACACCTGGAAGAATGGGGAGAAGGACAAATTAGCTCACGACACCTGGGCACATGGCCTGATTTCCTATCAGAAATGTGCACCTTCATACTTTGGCATTGGAAAAGGAAATAAAACACAGGTCTGCTCCCTCCTTTTATAGTCACCCTTCTGTTCCTGCTCCTACTTATTTGAGCCCTCTGGCCAGAAACGATACAGCATATTCCCTTCTTTTGCTTACACAGTCAATCTCTCATTTTCTCTACTGATGGGGACAAATCAACACAAGGTTACTTAATTTCCCCTTAAGAGAAGCAGGGCACCAGCCTCCAGCTGGTAGGCTGGATAGGTATTGCACACTGCACTCATGACTGTGAATAATGATGGCAGCTGCTCCCAAGAGACCAGGAACAGTCTTTCACAAAAAACACAGGTGAGATCATGTCTCTGACCTTGGGGAAGTAGAGGAAAAGTTAATTGACATTCCAAGTTTGGCCCTGCACTCTCCATAGAAGCAGCCAGAGAGCATCTGGAAGAGTTTGTCATCTCAAGTGCAAAGGAAAGCAAAGCACATGAGGAGCCAAATATAGTGACATTCTCTCTGTGTGATGACATGTATGTGTATGATACAGCTTTCAAAATATTTGTACAGTGACACCTATTAACTTCTATCATTGCTCTAGGAAGTACTCATCTCTCTGTGCAGTTGCACTCATCTTGCCTCAATTGCTGCATCCTTCTTCCTGCCAGAGCTTTCTTCTCCTCAATAATCCACTCTTCAGTTATCAGGTCATCTCCCTCACCCCCTTTCAACACAGCTAAGATTATGTGACTGTTCCCCTTCCACAACATGCACATCTCAGCCCTCCTTTCCTCCTCCTCAAGCACGATGCTGGCATTTCACAAAAGTTATTTAAGTTGCTTCCCACTCTTGGATTCAGCCATGTGCCATCTCCCACCCAGCATCCAAAGCTGTGCTAGATGGTAAGACCCAAAGAGAGACAGATGGGAGACTTCATTTAAGCATCCTGGAGAAGGAAACTGGTCCCACAGTAGCCCCTCCAAAGAATCTTGTGTTTTTCCTCCCTTCCTAGGGCTCAGGTCTCTACCTCATTTTCATCCCTGCTTGTCAGCCCTCCTGGGTGCCAGCAAGAAATTGATGGGCTCCATAGAGAATAAACTATAATCTATAGTGTCGATCTAGCTGGTTTCTCCTGCCCATCTCCTTGGAGTGCTCAGGCTGTTGTCACTGCTGGAGAGGCCATCCCTGCAGCTGCAGGCTGCAGACAGAATGAGGTCACCCAGCCCCCTCCAGCGAGCCACCCCTGCCCGTCCCTTGCAGGGCTCCCAGCTGCGGCACATTGCAGGTGCTCACCCCTTCAGGCTCTGAGCCTGCACCCTGCCAGTGCAGGGCAGCAACAACCCAGCACAGCATCCCTTACAAGATCATCATGATGCACAAGCACCAGAGCAGCTCTGTTCTGGAAGGGAGATGGGGAGGAGAAGCTGGCTCAGTCTCTCAGGTGTGTTTGCCCCATTTCTGACCAGTCACACCTGTGTGGCAAGGACTACTCAGTCTCTTCCACGGGCAGACTTTATTCACAGCCCACTTCTCTCACCAGCCAGGAGGCTTTCAAAAATACAGAGTTCATAATCAGTGTAAAACAAAGCCCAGTCCAACAAAAAGGCTCTCTCCAGGCCTCTCCACACCAGTTCTGCTCCTGGGTGCCATCAGCAGGACTCCTACTCTGCAAGCATGACCCTAAATAAATAAAAACACTTTTTTCTTCTTCTTCTTCAGAGCAGAGACCTCAGGCACGTTCACAAGAGAACTGAGGGAGCAGAAAAGGAGAATGGACAACTAAATTCAGGAGGGAGTGCAAGCTCCAGATGCACAACATGAACTGGACTTTCAGGAACAAAATCAGTACAGCACTTTCAAACCAGGAGGCAACAAATGACCCTGGTTCTCTCTTGTCTGCTGACTTACACAAAGCTTGGAAAAGGACAAGTGAAAAACAGTATGATGTGGTCTTTCCTTATATCTGCCTGGTACTTACTCATTTACTACTGCTCTGTCAGCACTTGCAGCCATTTGGGCCAGAAGAGAAATATTAAGAAAACATTTAGATAAAAAGCTGAGTGGAAAAGTGTACTAAAAGATATCAAGCAGCTGGCAGCACCTGTGCCCAGAGGCTGCTATGCACAAAAAGTGATGGGTCAGAGCTTGTTTCCTTGCTCCTGTAAACAACATGGGAGGAAATGGAACCTTGAGGAACGGGCGTCCTAAATACACAGATAAATGATTAGTAGGGCTTAGATAGTCACCTGTTATACCTGTCTTGAGTCACTTGATTGCTGTTATTCAGTCATCCCTCTCTAAAAAGTCTGGTCCAATATCCATAAAGAGTTAAGCAGATGCTCTGGCAGGACAGCAACAAACGTTTATTTGTAGTATTTGTTCTGGCACCCTCGGGACACAAACACTGCAGAGGTAAAATTTACTCCCTGAAGGAGCAGTGTGATGCCACATTGCCATCCCAGCCGAGGCCAAGTTGTCACCTGCCTGTCCCTGAGGATGTGGAGGATCATCTGCACGTCACTGCATGCCTAGGCAGCTCTCCCTTCCTCAGCAGAGGCTGGGGCCTCCAGGTCCACTGAGGTTTGGGGGGTGATGGCTCTCTGCCTCTAGAAGGCACTTGTGACATGTGGGAGAGTTTTTGGGTCCTCCCTAGCACTGGAAGAAAGGTGACTTTTTAATTGGCTCTCTGCCCTCCAGGGAAGAGGGTGGCTTTTCCAGTCTGTGTTTCACCAACAGGCTGCAAGGATCATCCCTGCTCCTGGACACAGACACACGTCCCAAGACTGTCAAAATGACTCCTTCAAGGAATTCAGAGGTTTGAGACACAAAAAGGATGATACTCCACCTTCACCCATGCTTTTGTTGCCCCACTGCTCAGTCCTGGACGCTTCCAGCAATCTGCCAGGAGAGCAATTTTAATGATCCTCCCCCATCATCCTGTTCCAGGAAGGTTATGCCAGGCTGATGTTCAGCACTACTGAGCTGAATGTGATAGCTGATTTTTTCTGAAGCAAGTAAGAACTCAGGCAAACTGATCTCACAGCAAAGTTGCCCCTAGAATATCCCTTTTTTAACAAGCTAATTAATAAACCACGAAATTAGAGGCGTTAGTAAGTAGATCTTTATTTTTGGGAAGAAAAATAATCAGCTTTTCGTCTAACAGGCACCTCACAGCCAAAGATTTCTTTCTCACCAGTGACACACTAAATTTGCCTCCGATTTAGCTCAAAGTGAGAGAAAAATGACCATGACTCTCTCCAAGGCCCTGCATTGGTCAGGAATAAAGCAAAATCTGGCCAGTAAACAAGCCAAGATGAGGCTTGTCAGTGCTGCTCACCAGGCTCAGCAAGGGAGAAATGATTCCTTTTCAAACTCAATTCCATCCATTAGTGCCATCCTGAGCACATAAGCAACGCTCCCACCTGGCATCCAAGTTATATTTATCCATAAAGCATTTGGCTGTTTTGTCTGGATCGTGGTTTCCAATCTTGTGTTTCATAAGCAAAGCTCCTCCTTTCCTCCCAGGAAGTCGCACTTCTGATGGATTTATTGCTTGAAGTGTTTTTAAGGAAGTGAAAACAAATGACAAAAGCTTTGAAGCATGACTGGACTTCTTACCTCAGAGCTGCAGGGGTGCTGGGCCACAGCAAACATGAGGACACTAGATTTGGGAGTCCTAAAAATCAGAGGAACCAACTTCCCCATCCAATCCAAAGTGAAGACATTTATCAGAGTTTTCACCTGGGCTAGGACTGCCAGGTTAGGTACAGGTAAGAAGTAATGAATGTGGCAGGTAAGGGAAGCACACAGCTCTTGTGGGTAGCACTGAATAAAGGAACCCCATTAATGATCACCATGTGCTTTTACTGCATAAGCCATAAAGCACATGCTCCTCCACTCCAGCCTAGTGGTTTCTTGTTTCATGGAAGAAAAAAAAACCAAACTCAGTGGGTTTTTTTTTTTGCTTGTTTGTTTTTTGTTGTTGGGGTTTTTTTTCTCACACCTGTAAGCCACCCAGCATTATCCTGAGCATATTTTCCAGCATACAGGGCACAGGCTGGAGGTGGGTGCACCCACACAGGGAGCTCCAAAGTGGGATTTCCGGTGTCCTTTCAGGGGTGCCAGGTGGGTTTGAAAGATTTTACAAGGCCCCAGCAGCATGTCAGAAGAGACAGATCTGGGAAAGTCACAGAAGTACTCACCAGTTTTTGTCCCACTGGAGGCTGTTGCATTATCTGTGATCCCTTAAAATGCGTTAGTGATATCCAGCGCTCCCAAAACAAATCAACACCTCGAGAAGGGGTTTGAGAGACTACAGTAACCATATAAAAGTGTGTTTGCTAGGGGAATTTCTATCTCTAAGAAACAAATCAGACTCTTTATAAAAGAATGATGACTTCAAATCTAGCCCTTTCAAGGCAATACTGAAAAATACATTCCTACCATTGACTCCACAAACTAGAGTCCTAAATCTCCTTTCCCTCTGTGTCCTCCTTTGTTTGCCAGGTAAGAGGCTGAAGAAAACCTGTCCATTTTTCTGTAACAAAGCAGCCACCTGCAGGGCCCATTCCCCAGAACAGCTGAGCAGGTCTAATTGCTCACTGCTGGAGGGCACAGTCCTGCCCATTTCCCCATCCTCCTCCCAGCCGAGGCACCAGTCTGACTCACCAAGAACTCTGTGAAGGCTGTGAATAGTTTTCCCAGGGTCAGTCAGGCGAGCTGACTCACTGAGGAGTGGATGATCCCCAGAGGTCCCTTCCTACCAATATTATTCCATGAGTACTGCAGTAGATGCAGCAGGGAACCACAAGGAGCACAGGGCTGGAAATCAGGTGGGAAATAAGCTTGTTCTTTTGCTTTTGAAGAGCTCTGCTCTCAGGGGAGCTTGGCTGCCTTGCTGAGCTGTCCTGTGCATCTCTGCTGCCCTTACACACTGACCAGCACAGGGAACCCACTGCCCCGTGCCCCTGGCCCAAAGGGATGACAGCAGAACTGCTGAAGTGGCTGGTGGCGAGTGCAAGCACCCCTAGAGTGGCACAGCTTGCACATCTTGGCAGGAAGGGCCGCCTGGTTGATGGAGCTGCCTTCTTCCAGGAGCATTTAGCCAATATAATGATTTTCATGGGCTGTTAAGGCAACTCCTTCAAATATGGTACAAGGGAAACCAGGAAAAGTGAGGTAGGCAGAGAAATGAAAAGAACAAGAACAATCTTCTCTTTTTAACATTTGTTAGATCTTTGGCATAGTTTGTAACAGAGACAAACTTTTCAGAGAGAATTGCAGCATTTCCATTGATAAATTTCAACATGATGGTCATGCAAAACCAAGAAGTCCATCTTACAGCTTGGCATAGGCTACAGCCTCATGCAAACTTCACTTACCATGCCATAATCTGAGGTGAAGAGAACAGTTCCATTGGCACACAAGCCAACAGTGCATGGCTGCAGCTGGTCCTCCTCCCGCAGCCATACTCTGGCACCCTGCAAAAACCAGGAGACATCCCATTAGAAAGAACTGCTGCCTCTGAGATCTGCACACAGGGTGCAAACACCCAAGGAAAGCTACAGTATTCAGAGACTACTTCCAAGCTACAGCTGCTTAAAATATTTAAGTAACTCCTACTTACATTTTCAGAGAAACTTTTTTTTTCTTAATGTAACATGAGCGGAAGAAAAAGCAGTTTTAATGAGCTTCATGCGGAAACTAAAGTAAGGAAACACCAATTTTTATAGAAACTGTCACGGAAAGATACCAACACATAGAATAGTTAGTTTGACTATCTAAATATTTTAAAACTTGGAATAGCTGGTCATTAGAAGTCATGCTATAATAATAATAATAGAAAATACAAATAAAGCATGTTTACAATGTCATACACCCACGCATCATTGTAAGTCAAAATGCTTACAGAAATCACCAGCAAAGAGGATTTCACAGAGCTTTGTTTGCAAACTCTGGCAAGAGTTCCTTTGGTAAATGACATGACCTGGGCGTTTCTTTGATGTATATATACACTGATGTATACATGATGGTCCTGGTGTCTGATGTTTGTATGCACTGCTGTTTATATATGTTTATATATGTGATGTTTCACATACATTACAACATCTTAAACTGCTCCATGTCCCTCAAGACAAGTCTGAGCACAAACCCAGATTTCTGGTAACACACATGCAGGGATCTGCAGGACAGGTAGATCTCATAACTTGCCTACCAAAATAGTAGGGAAAACAAGTTTGCTGAATTGGCCTCTTCTGCCCTGTCTGCCTGTGGGACTTGGTACACGGGAAAGAGCAGGAGCATGAAGGCAGATCAGGGCAAGCATGACCTGCAGTTACAGGGCTAGGCATGAAGTCACACCACATTTCAGTTATTGCAAAGTAATCACTTCCATGTCTTCCCACAGAAATCACATAAACGCTGCTTAGATAAATATTGAGAAAAATCCAAAGTGCTCAACTGTTGAGTAACATTAAGGCCATTCTGCCTTTCATCGACTGACTTTCTTCCTAATTTTTTTATGCCCCTAAATTATTGATCGTGAGCTTTAAGCCCTTCCTACCCTCTTAATCCCATCAGCATCATTAGCTTTTTGCTTGTAGGCTTAATATGTTTGAAGAAATTGAATAATGTTTCTATATTACATTATACAAAATGTGAAACACTAATTCTATTTTGAATGATTTGTTTTTAGTTTAGGTGGGTTTTTTTAAACTACTTAAGTCACTCTAAACTCTTTGATACCCTGGGCTTTCCTTACTCAAGGAGATACATCTATAGGCCAACCTCCTGTCCTCCCAATAAAAGAACTGGGTTTAATGACATTAAAATGGTGTACATAATTCTAGCTTTACTGCTATGCTCTGGTCTAGAGTTTCCGCACCAAGCAGATTAATCTCCCCTCACCAAGTGAATGAAAAGCACCATTGCATCTGATCAGCACCTAAACCCATGGATGGTCTGCAAAGATCATCCTCATGTCCAGTGAACAATAGTGATAGAAAAAAATGGACTCTTATGTTACAGATTTGAGATCCCAGAGAGCTGGTATGAACAATACATCACACACAGATTTTGAGGAACTATATAGAGGATTTATTACACCCTCTTAGGTTTTCCAAAACTCTGGATGCTTGAAATAAAGCGTCCTGAGGCATCTGGGCAAGACATTGCTGTTGTGAAATCAATTTCCCAAATCACATTCTGATTATTGTGCATAAACATATGAACAGCAATATTTGTTTAAGGATTTTTTTGCTACTTTCACCAGACTTCTACTACCACCATGGTAGAAAGCAAAGAGTCAGAAAACAGGAAGGTTGTGTCTCCAAACAGTGGGGTGGAAGAAAGCCTATTATAAGACACTTAGTGTAAACATCTCCAAGAGTGCATTTCAATGCCTTCAGACACAGGTAACCCAGGATGGCAGAGATGAGGGCCTGAGGCAAGTGCAGTTTAATCAGAAGACAAGTCTGCACCCTGCCATGTAACTGTGCCCCAATGCCACTGCACACACACCTTGTGTGTGGGAGTGTGCCACGATCACAGCAGCCTACAGTCTGTCCCTGAAGACCAGAGGGGACACAGACTTTCCACTCCCTGAGCTAAGAAATTAACTTGAAGCCACAGGCAGTTGATAATCTGACACAGAAGAGACAATCCATAGGCATGAAGACTGTTACTTAATAGGTACCACTTAAAAGGGAAAAGAGGGGAGATAGCTGAATTATCTCATTGCCTATCTTCAACACATAGAAATTATCTAAAAGTCCACACTGATTCAGACTCCTTTCCCAGCAGAAGTCCATGTGCAAAAGTATTAACAAATACTCCTCCAAGGAGACACGGTTCTTTTGTACAACACCATACAAACTTATGGCAGGTCCTTCTGTGTGCTGCTAAGGAATAGAAGGCTGAAACTCCCAGGCACTGTGGTATTTCAGCTGCCCAGAATGACTTACTTCAATTTACTCTGACGTTGTAGCTGTTTGTACAGCAGCAATTGCCTCTGCACAGCAGAATAACTGCACCCAGTTATGCTGTTTCCAAGAGGAATACTGTGCTGACGTAGCCAGAAAAGGAACCACAGAGTAAATAATTATTGTAACTTCTGCCCAGCATACCCATAGCCCCATTTCTGAAAGGCAGAGTTTGTTTTAGTGCATCTCCTTCCACCATTCCTTTTTTCTAAACATGAAATTCCCCAAGGAGCCTTGACTAAATACAGGAGCAGATGGTGACACCAAGGAGACTGCCCTCAATTTACTCCCCTCTCCCCCAATGCCACACATCTTATTGATCAGTTGAAAGGATTACATTGAGCAGAAAACTTCCAAAAACTGCCAGGCAGCAAGGCTGAACTTCCATAGGGGAAGCAAGGTCAGTAGGATCAAGCACTGCCCAGCAGCAATGTGCCAGCTCTGGGGGGCCCAGCTACCACAGGGCACCACAAATGATGGGAAAACTCTGCTCTTCTAGGACAAGAGTAAAAATCCTTCAGCTTTCATTCTGGGATGTAGAAGGTCCACCCTCACCCACAGACAAAACAGTTTAACAAAATGAAGCAACAAGCAATCACCAATTTGAAGAGAACACCTTAAAAGACAGAGGAGGAAGAGCAGTGATGATTTTGTGTAATCACTTTCCATCATATAAAGCTGGCTGAATACTGATCATACAGTTAACTCAAGCCCCTTATATAATGAGCTTATCCCCTCCCAATTATTCTTTTACTAGGAGTACTAGGCTGGTCTATAGCTTTGGCTTTAAAGTGAACAACAGCAGGAACTGAAAGGAAGAATAAAATAATAATGTACCAGTCCCTATATCAAGGGCAGGTTATTCAGATGTTAAACAAACTCTGAGACCAACATCCTCATTCCTATGGCCTCAGTAACCATCTGTCCATGAACTTGCCTTGCCACAAAGTGCACAGCAAAGCACAATCCTGAAAAGTGATCCTGTACCATGGGGTTGTAATTTAGAAAATAAAGTTGCTTGCACACAAAGAGCAGTGTTTCATCAGTACTGGCCCATGGTCACACTATCATGCCTTCTACTGTGACAGTAAACTCTAAGATGCCATTTCTCAGTTCAAATAACACATGGCACTTTGGGATCCTAGACTCAGAAATAAATAACATTTCCGGCTATTCAGGATATCAAAAAATCAATTGAAGCCACAGATTTCTTTGGCCTTCTATGCTTATTTTTTTTTTTTAGAGTAACTGAAACCGGAAGCTCTCTCTTGCATTCACATGCTTGTATCTCATCTCAGGAGATGGAGTATGGTGTGTCAGCAGGGAAAAAATAAGGGAGATCTTGTGTGCTGCATCCAGGGAACGGGCAGACAGGCAGCACACAGCCTTTACTGCAGCAGCAAGGCATCCACACATTAGAGTGTGTAGCCAGCAGCTAAACCCTCCTCATCAGTTATCCAGCTGTTGAAGGCAGCAAGGTAAGCTCCAGAGGACAGGACACAAAACTTTGCATCTGCAGGTGCCTTGGCCTCTCCAGAGCCTCCCAGCCCAGCAGGAAACACATTCAAGGACTGACATGAGAAAGCACTCCACAACTGTGTCACTCTTCAGAAGCAAGTCTTCATATTCTGTTCTCCTTACTTGCATTTTCAGGACTACCCTTGAATCTCCACGTTTTCCCTGGATGTCCTCTGCCTTCTGAAAACTGCTTCTTCCCAAGCAAGAATGAGCTGCCCCAGCTGAACTTCAGGACACAGCAGTGCTGCCTCTCTGAGTGCACTCAGACATCTCATTCCTTCTTGTGCACAAACCTACACAACTGCCAGGAGTAACGTGATCAGGAGGGACTAAACCAGGATGGCTGCATCAGTTTTCCAGGGGTTATTCAGAGAGGAAAAGTGGTTTTGCTTGGAAGATACTTTTCAGTGTGTGAAAGGAGCACACAATTGTCTGCTTTTTCCAGTACTTTGTGATTGAACTTGGCTGTCTCAGCTTCTAGATCTACCTAAAAACACAATACTACAAGAGGCTCTTGCAATGCCTTCCTTGATTTAGGTAATTATACCAAATCAGCCATTCTGCAAGGGGCAGGGATGTCTCAAAAATGTACACCCCTGCACTGAGAGTCTGAAACAAAAACCTCTGTGGGTGCCACAAGTTTTCAACTACAAATGCTATTTAAGTAACTCACCTTTGTCCTCCTAACACACTGAGGCTGTTTGGTGGGTACTGGGCATCCAAGCCTTGTGTTTCTCCTGGCGATGGATCCATATGCTCCTAGGCTTAGAAAAGGCTCTCCTAGCAGCACAGTGCTGAGCCAGCTCTTTTCCCAGCCTCAGTGGGCTTTGTGGTTGCAAACCACGAGGCAGAGACTGGGCTAGAAAGGCCCTTGCAATTCAGACAAAGCCGGAATCAGGTTTCAATAAATGCACTTTCCAAGAGATTGATCTGGATGATCATGAATAAGTGATAGGGCAAATATAAAGAGCCTTAGCTAATGG